AATTCTGTTTTTGAAATAGACAAAATATTTGAAGACACATTTCATGAAAAAAAGACATGAAAAGATGTATAATATCAGATACCAGGGGCAGGAAGCAACTGAAATCTCACACATTGTCAGTACAATTTGGTAGTTTCTTATAATGTCAAATATTCACTTTCCATGTGACTCAGGATTATCATCCCCACATATTTACCAAAGAGAAATGAAAACACATATTCACATAAAGGCTTCTACACAAAATGTTCATACAATTCATCCATTTAGCCCCAAACTGGAAACAACCAAATTCCTATCAATAAATGAATGGAAAAACAAATTGATGCATAGCCACATGAAGGAATATGATTTAGCAATGAAAAAGAAAAGATGTGATACATGTGAATATATGGATGATTCTCAAAACCATGCTGACCTTCAAATGGGGCATTTGAGTTTTCAGTTATGATAACCTCGTTTGTTGAGAATCGACTAGTCAGGCATTTGGATATGCTAGTCTCATTAAAAACCCTTTAAGGTAAATGAGTGTTTTTTCCTAAGTTTCCTCTGTTTCCCTTTTTGATGTCATCTAGCATTTTAGAACTTTGGGCATGGGTTAATCCAGTAGTCTCTAGCCTCTTCATTTTCAATTTCATACTGTCAGAAAGTTTTTCACAAAGCAATACTTCTTTATGTCATCATGAAAACAAACAAAAATAAAATACAACTGGTATTCATGTTAACATTGAATACAATTCTTTGTAGACCCAGTCCTTCCTCCAAACCTCAGAAGAATACCTTCTAAGATTTCTTACCAAACCAATAAAATATTTTTTTCTCATATCAGTAAGTCGACTTGTGAATGTAAGTCTTCTGACTTGTTCTGATAACCTACTCCAGGAGTTGACCTTGACATTTTTGTCTTAGCTTTTCATGATTAAAAACATAATCTGGTTCCCTCTCCAGACTTTTCTCCTTTGGTTAGAGGGACTTCCATTCTTCAGGTTATTCAGGTTTGAAACAATGGAGTCTGTGGATCATCTCTCTCTTCTATCCCCCCATATGCAGACAATTAACTTTTTTGTATTTATTCATTACATATTTCTTTTTCATCTATTTCTTTATATAGGACCCCAACCACTATGATAGTTTAGGCCTCTGTCTCCTCACAGTAGGTTCTGTGATAATCTTCAACTTGGTGTTCTGTATTTTTAGACTTCCAAGTGGGAGTCTAGAAATATAGAGTTTTGAGTTTTCAGTTATGAAAACTTCATTTGTTGAGAATCGACTATGTCATAATAGATAGGCATTTGGATATGCTAGTCTCATAAAAACCCTTTAAGGTAAATGAGAAACCAAACTCATTGAATAATTTTTTCAAGGTTATAACAGCTGTTGGGGGACAGAACTGGCAGGAATTCTATGTAGGCACCAAAGCCCATTTATATGTAAGAAACAGAAAATAGGTGAGATTTACAACACTCTACATTGGCAGAGGGAGAGGATGAGCCATTGCAGTTGAGATGCAGTTTAGAGCACATTGGTAGGTACTATTTTATTCCCTCTTTCAATTTTTTATTCAAGTGTTTTTCTAATTAGAGGCTATTCTTTTAAGTACAGTATTTACTAGACAAAAGTTCTGCTTTAAATTTTTATAAAATGATAGCCCTGATTAAAATATATTTGGATACCTTCAAGGATACTTCCTTTCATATGCCTGACACTAAGACATCCAGCAAGCTCAGTAATTGTTGGCTGGATGAATGAATACTAGTGCACGCTTTTGAATATTTACAATTTTTCTTTGTTTTTTTTTTTTAATATTTACAATTCTTAATATGCTCATTGAGCAAACCCATTAGGCAAATTGTCTTATCACCTCCATCTGACAAAGGGAGAAACCAAGTTAATACCATCTGTTGTATGGGTGAAGCTGGGATTAGATTTGAGACAATGTATTCCAAAGCTTTGTTCTAAACCACACCAGTATCCTGTTTCTCATCTAGGGGAGGCATTACTTTCAGGGTTATCTAGGTTTCTAATAGAATAGTAGGCCCATTTTGTTATGTCAAAGTTTAAGAAGAATGTAGAGTAAGGTTCCTTCCTGTCTCTGTTGTTCACTTGAATAGAATTGCCTTGTATCTTTGGATCTTTGATCCATGGTTATGCCTCTGGCCCCTGGATTCATGAAAATTGATGAGAGATTTTGTGCATCTATGTTAATACATTTTTCTCCTTGGGCAAATGCCCATACTCTCAGCAGATCCAAAGAATTTTACAACTACAAGAAGATTAAAAACCACAGACATATAGAAAACATTTGGGATTTTTCTTGAAAGATAATCAAGATTATTAAATGCCCCCAAATGTATATAGGTGGATTTATTTGAAGAGTTATCCACAGCTTATTTTTTATCTTTATAAAGGAGATATTGGTTAGGGAACTAGGAATTAATGTTGATTATATGCTAGCTTTTTAAACTCTGTATGATTACCAGAAAGATATATATATATTTTACAACTGCAAAAAACAAGACTTAGAGTGGTAAGAGGTAAGCCGAATGATCTGGTGATAAATGGTAGACCTAGGATACCCAGAGGTGTCTAACTCTAAAGCCAATATTGTCCCACCTTGTGGGTAGACACAACCACTAATTGCCCTGGGTATTTGTGTGCAGCTAGCCTTGTGGAGCAGGTCCCTTAGTTATTTCATGCAACTCTATCTACAATAGAGGCTGTGTTATGTGTCATTTTAAGGACATTTTGAAGAACAGGAATTCAGTCACACTTTAAGATTATGTCCCAAGTGCTGGTGGCTTTTTTTCTTTTTTCCATTGCTGCATTCTGATCTCTGGGACTCCCTGCTAGGCAAAGCTGACCCAGCTGCAGTGACTAACTTACAACATAGTGCAGGCTTCTGATGGCCACAGGCCAAGCCTTCCTATCTCTGTCCACTTGAGTAAACTTGCAGCCTTCCTATTACCACAGCTGCAGTCTGGTTTGCAACATTCTTGAAACAGAAACAGGAACTGGGATGGTGTGTTTCCCTTTTAGCTTCTACATCATGTACTTCTCCTTGACTAGCATCTCCTATCCCATCACCTACCTTGCTTGAGAATTTCTCTGTGAACAAACACTTGTTTGTGAAGCCTTGAAAATTACAACCAGGCTTTTGAGATCTCTTGAAGGCTTTTCTTGCCTCCTCCAGAACACACTTGCAGAGGAAGGTTTTAGAGAAGCAGGTAGTGTTGCCCTCCAGTGGACTCTTCTATGCAATTGGGGGTGGGGAGGAGATTGGCATGTTGGATTGGGTATTTCTCCCAACACTGGGATAGAGAGAATTCTTTTGCAGAGAAGGCCTCCTAGGGCTCTCAGCCCCTGCTCCAAGAAATCCAGCTCAGCAGTGCTGAATATCAATTTGAAGTTAGTGTAATCTTACAGCTATTATCCTCCACTTTACTGGGATAGACCACTTGGGGGAGGAAAGTGGGGACCAGGCAGAAGAGGCAGTGATGGAGCCAGGGTCATGGTGGCAGCAGAAAAAATGAATGAGGATTTACTTACACTGAAGAAAGCAGATAAGAACTGACACTTCATACTGTAAGTGGGTTCTTTGCTTTACAAAAGATTACCCATTTTCTTTAAGTTGTGAATTGTCCTTTTTAATACATTCTAAATTACTCCACTGTTGACTTAAAAGGGGAAAGAAAACTTCCCATACACAAAATTTCCAAAAACCACACCTATCTGATTTCATTGTAGAAAGTATATATGAATTGTATTAGTTTTCTAGGGCTGCCAAAACAAAGTGCCACAACCCAGGTGGTTTAACAACCCCAGGAATTTGTTATCTTCCAGTTCTCGATGCTTGAAGTCTCCATTCAAGGTGTCAGCAGGGACAGGCTCCCTTTGAAACCTGCAGGGGGTACTGTCCTTGCTTCTTCTGCAGGTTTGTCAGCAATCTCTGGCACTCCTAGGCTTTAGGTGTGTCATTCCATCCCCTCATCTGCATGTGGTCTTCTCCTAGGTGTCTCTATGCATATACACAGACAGATCAATGCATATCTCTTTGTGTCCAAATCTCTTTTTTTAGAAAGACACCAGTCCCTAGATTAGCCCCTACCTTCTTGACATCACCTTAACATGACTATATCTGTAAAATCCCTGGACACAACTCAACCCATAACGTAGTTATCATGAAATACAACACTTAAAAATGCCATTATCTTTGTGAGTCTGTGAGTTACTCTGAAGTTATTACCTTCTACCTTTCAAAAACACTTTCAGATACTGTTTTCTTATTCAGTGATCAAGTGTGTTTCTCATCTAGTTATTAGTCTTAATTAGCTGCTGTATCATTCCAGTGCAGTTACACAGTAAAAAGAGGGCTTTGATATGAAAAGTATAATATATTTCTGGGCTGATGTTGAACCTTGGACATGGCTGCTCACAATGGTACCTTTTATTCCTTTAATGTTCATCAGTATCTGCTTTTCTGCCTTTGTTCTGTGGGATGTTTTCCTTGGAACTGTCTTTTCCATCTACTTTTTCTGTCATCTTACTTTGAACTTCATATCAAGTTTAGGTTCCATTTAATAGGCATGCAGATCAAAGAGGGCATAATTATCTTTAATAAGCAAACCTAACAGCAGAATCCTGGAGAACTTTCAGAAAGTTCATTTCCTTATACATCTACCATGGTTGGGGGAACATACAAAAGGATCCTTGTCTGCACTTAGAAACTCCATACATTACCTATAGTATTTTGTTTTTCTACACATTAAAATTTTAACAAAGACAAAGTTGGCAGACACTGACAATAGACAATTTGGCTACATTTGTACACTGGCGACCATTGTGGGGCTTAAATTTTCAACATCTTTGTTTTATCCAAGAGTAAAGTTTTCTCATTTTGAAATACAGTGTTCTTGAACGTGGATGTAGCTCAGCACGTGCAAGGTCCTGAGTCTGGTCCCTAGCAACGCACCCCCCACACATACATACACAGAAGAAGTACAGTGTTTGTTTCTTGTAAGACTGAAAATACTTTATTCCTATCTCTTTTAAATACATTTAGTTGGAGAATATCAGTAGCATGGTAACTCATCCTCTCCAGGTGTTATTTTCTCAGGTCAGGCAACAGGTGGTCACAAGTATTGTGTGAGCATCTTATAAAGGAGTAGATGACGACCTCAACAGCTGCCTTTATCTTCTATTTTATTACTCATGATTCAAAATCCAAAATATGAAGTTTTGGTGCTTTTTCTCAAAAGGAGAAACTTGAGGGAAATGTCTGAAGCAAAGATATTGACCTTCTTCTCCTTCCTTCATGAAACTTTAACTGCATATTTCAGTCTCGTGGAATCTTTCGTGTTGTTCTGACTGTCAATAAGAACCAAGGGACTGTGCTGATGATTCTTGATGATTTCAGCAACACTTCCAAAGTACTAGAGGAAGAAAATACAAATGAGTTAGAATGGGCACTTATGTGAACTTCACCTTCCACTCCTCTCATCTTCTCTCCTTTTCTCAACCGAGTAAAAAGTTATCAGGTCCCGGTCAACATTCTGCCCCCAGAAATGCGGTTTAATAGGGCAGAACCCTTCAGGGTGGCACACTCTGGACTTTCCTGTATTTAGTAAGATGAAAACACACCGGCATCCTCAATTAGTGTAACTTCTCGGGGTACTTACTTCACTGAGTTATGATACAATATTTTAACATCTTGCTTTTTAATTAATGTCAAACATGAAATTATCATACAATATATTTTTATATTCTTGATAAAACAAATTATTATGTCACACAAGTCTTAGATATAGGGTGCTGCAATTTGGATCTTGAATGACTCCCAAAGGTCCATGTGTTAATGGTTTGGTTTTCAGGGTGGTGACTTGGAAGATAACGGAAATTTTAAGAGGTGGAGCCTAGTAGGGGGGCTGTCTTTAGTTCACTGGGTGTACTGCCCTCAAGGGAGGGTATAGGGACTCTGGTCACTTTCTCTCCCTTTTTTGTTTCATCAAGCATTCCCACCATGTTCTGTTGCCTTGCTGCAGGTCCAGGCAACAGAGCCAATCATTATAGACTGAAACTTCCAAAACTGTAAGAAAAGTAAATTTTTCTCTTTGTAAGTTGATTATCTCAGGTATTTTGTTATAGTGACAGAAGCTGACTAAAATGCAAAGACCAAAGTAATAAACTAACCTTAGAGTTTAGTATTGGAGAAAGTTATTTCTAGATAAATTTATGGTTTTTTTTCTCTTCAACATGTAAAGAAATCTTTATAAACCCTCATATTTCCATACATGCTTGGCTACTAGAGTTAACTCAGTGCTTAATTTACAATGAAATTTCATGATAGCCTCTTACTATACAGATTGTTTTGCTCTATTTTAATCCCTCTTGTATGTAGGTTTTAATTTAAGGATGTCACAAATTTTGTTGTGAAAAGTTATCAAAGTTTTCAACGTAAGATTAAATAAAATGTAACCCAGACAATGAAATAAAATGCCTTGGGGATACAAGAGTGCTATAAAATAATTTTTAATATTTATTTTTTCATTGTAATTGGACACAACATCTTTATTTTGTTTGTTTATTTTTATGTGGTGCTGAGGATTGAACCCAGGGCTTCTCACGTGCTAGGTGAGCACTTTACCGCTGAGCCACAACTCCAACCCCAAAATAATTTTTAAAGAGGTAATTATTCAACAGCAGTGCTGATAATTTAGTAATTAATATCAGTTTTTCTCATCATCTCTTAGTTTTTTATATAAAGAAAAATATCTAGAATAAAAAAATTTTAGAGCCTTCATTAATTGTTTGAATGACTTCCAAAATCTATATATTGACTAAAGCATTCAGAATATTGGTCAACCTTTTCAAATGGGATACCAGTTGTCTTTTAAATAACTGGCCATTTGAATATTAGGTAAGAGAGGGGAGGGAAATTCAAATACTTTTATTTGAAAAGAAAGTTCTTTCTTTCTTTTCAAATATCTGTCCCTCTTGCGATCAACAATGAAATTCTTTTATAATAAATCCCCTAATACAAGCATTCTGTTTGCTTGGCATAGAAAGCTATTAAGATTAATGCAGTTGGAAATTAAATTTCTAGACTAAACGGCCAGGAAATAAAATATCATAGCCTCTCCGAAGTGGGCTGTAAGTGAAAAGGTGTGTTCTCAACCCAGGAAACACAGAAGAGAACTGCTCCATGAACACTAGCAAGCACCTCATTCTCTCCACCCAGTCCCTGAATATGTTTGAGTACTGTTCTGTTGCAGTGTTGGGGACTGAAATGTTTGCAGTAGGGACTTGCCTTGAGTTGAAATATTTAAAGTAGGGAATGGAATTTAAGCATATCTGTAATTTAATGGAAAGCTGAATTAGGCATATTGTAGTTGCAGTTTTCCCTCAGTTCTGCTTTTTTTTTTTCTGTTCACATTGAGTTTATTTGAGATATTTACATAAACACAGAAAAAAAAAATGTTTGATAACTCAAAAAATCTCATGGCCAAAAAACTAAAGCAGACAGTTGTCAAAACTGTAAAATTACTCAATACTGTATCAACCAACGCCAAAAAAACTGCATGGAAAGTTAAACAATTAATAAGTTAGTTATTTACTGACCCCTATGCACAAACACATATACACACACTTCTGGAAAATATATCCATACACACGGTCAGTATTATGTAACCTAAATTTTCATTCTCCATTCAGATAATCAATATATAGAGACAGGATTTTCTTATTATAGATAATTTAAGTAAGGGTTTTAATTGACTGTCAGTACATTCAGATGCCATCATAATAATACATACTAATATTTTGACCCAGGGGATGGATATGTTAGGAATGGGGTGAAGTACTGGGTATTAATTCTGGGATAAGTCAAGAACTTCCTAGCAGGACAAGAGAGCTCACAGCCCCTTCAGAGGCTCAAAATTTCTGAGAGAATTTCAGGACCCTTAAGCAGGATAGCTCCCTCACCCAACTTTAAGCCTCACAGAGAAGAGCTGGACCCCAGAGGAGGCTTTAAAATGAAATCCTCCCTCCAAAGTCATTGTTTCCTACCAGGATCACCACTATCTCCTGCCATTGATTGTGATTAAGAAGAATTTTTAAAAATTTGTAAGAATAAAATTTTCAGCAAGAATGAACAGTTTCATGAATGAAGAAAAGCAGCTAGTTTTGTTAAGTGTTTAACTTATGTTAAATGACAATGCATTTTTCCCCCTACAACTTAAAATCTGCCACTTAAAAGCCAAGTTTGGTCTTAGTGGTCTCTGAATTAAGAGTTTTGCATTTTATGATTGAGATTTTATTTTAAAACCCAAGCTATAAAAACTCTAGGAGAAACAGGGAACAGCTTTGTGACACTGGATTTGATAATGACACTAAAAAAACCCAGGCAGCAAAACCAAAAATAGACAAGACGACATCAGACTTAAAAACGTCTGTTCATCAAAGAGCACAATCAACAAAGTGAAAAGGCAACCTAAGAAATGGGGAAAATATTTGCAAATCATTTATCTGTTAAGGGGTTAATATCGTCCAGAATATATAAAGAATCCTTAAAACAGAATGAAATAAGCAGATCAAAACATAGATTAATGTTTTGAATAGACATTTATCCAAATATGATATACAAGTGGCCAAGAAACATATGAAAAATATGCATTTAGTAATTATCAGAGAAATACAAATCAAACCCACAATGAAATATCACCTCACTCTCATAAGGATGGTACACACACACACACAGACACACACACACACAAACATACACACACTAACAAGGGATGTGAAAAAGTCAAACTTTTGAACAGTGTTGGTGGGATTTAAAAATGGTTTAACTACAATGGAGAAGTGTGGTGATACTTCAAAAAATGAAAACTAGGAGTGTGATATGATCCAGCAATCCCACTTCTGTATGTATACTCACAAGAATTAAAAGCAGGGTCTTGGAGAGTTATTTGCACACTCATGATTATAGTAGCACCATTCGCAACAGCCCCAAAGTGAAAGCAACCCAAATGTCCATCAGTGGAATGAATGGATAAATAAAATGTGGTGTATATACATAATGAAATACTATGTAGTCTTAAAATATTTCTTAAAAAGGAAGGAAATCCTGTCACATGCTACAACATAGAGGACATTATGCTCAGGGAAATAAGCCAGTCACGAGAAGGCAAATACTATACGATTTCACTTATATGAGATATCCAAAGTAGTCAAATACATAAAAATAGAAAGTATAAGGGTGGCTACCAGAGGCTGGAGGGAGAGGGGAAAAGGGAAGTTGTTTAGTGAATATAGAATTTCAGTTTTACAAGATAAAAAATATATGGAGATCTGTTTCACAACAATGTAAATGTAATCAAACCTACTACATTATACTTAAAAATGGCAAATATGGTAAGAGTATATGCTTATGATAAGTATTTTACCACAGTTTTTCTAAAAAGCTAAAGAGAGAATACAAAAGAACTTTTATCTATTTTCCTGCTTATAACTACTCAATCAACAATTCAAGACATTTATTTAATAAATATTTATCAGGTACTCACTGAAGCCAGTCATTGTATTCTGGTTCTAGAAATAAGTGTACAAGATATGTACATATGGTCTTATCCAGTGGAGAAGACAATTGTGATATTTTCTTACAAGTTCTGAGTTTGGAATGGGTGTGGCTCTTTCTGAAGGAATTTGGACAACAAATATTTCTTAAACTTTGTTTATGTTGTTTTCTCTGCTTAAATTATTCTCTCTCCACTTTTTTCATTTTTCTCCCTCCAACTATTATTCTTTTTTAAAGTGATTTTTAATTGATTTTATTTTTTAAATACATGACAGCATTACAATTCTTGTTACACATATAGAGCACAATTTTTCATATCTTTGTATATAAAGTATGTTCATGCCAATTCATGTCTTTATACATGTACTTTGGTTTTTTTGCATTACAATTCTTATTACACATATATACCACAATTTTTTAATATCTCTGTTTGTATATAAAGTAGGTTGATACCCAATTTGTTTCTTCATACATGTACTTTGGATAATGATGTCCATCACATTCCACCACCCTTGCTAATCCTCTGCCTCGCCTCCTCCCTTTCCCTCCCTCCCCTCTTCCCTATCTAGAATTTATCTAATCCTTCCATGTTCCCCCTCCCTACCCAACTATGAGTCAACCTCCTTATATCAGAAAAAAACATTCAACATTTGTTTTTTGGGGGGATTGGCTAACTTCACTTAGCATTATCTTCTCCAAGGCCATCCATTTACCCGCAAATGCCATGATTTTATTCTCTTTTATTGCTGAGTAAAATTCCATTGTGTATATATACCACATATTTTTTATCCATTCATCCACTGAAGGGCATCTAGGTTGGCTCCACAGTTTAGCTATTGTGAATTGTGCTGCTATAAACATTGATGTGGCTCCTTGGAAATCTGGGAATGGAACCACCATTTGACCCAGCTATCCCTCTCCTCGGACTATACCCAAAAGACTTAAAAACAGCATACTACAGGGACACATCCAACTATTATTCTATTAATTAAATTCAACCCATCATTTAAGACTAGAATGAGTTTCACCCCCTTTCTGGACCATCTGTAGATTATACTGACTCATATTTCAGGGCTTATTACAGGAACAGTCCAGCTAAACTGAGATATGCTAAGTTTGGGCTATGGTCCAGGTTAACAGATGTGTTGAAGTTCATGTATGGTTGATATTTAAGACCCATGTGATTTTCTTCCCCATGCTGCAGGCCCATAAGCTAATTCTGGTCTAAGAGCTGTTTCAAATCAAGCTCCCACATCTTTTCTGGCTCCTTCCCTGCTCACCTACCTTGGTACTGGAATTGAGATTCCAGGTCTCAACTTTGCAGGTCTAGACCATGACCTTGATTTTTACAACCTTAATTCTCCATGACATTTCAACCTTCATTTATACATCCTCTTGGATGAATATCTTAGGTCAGAGTAACCTTCTCTTTTCTGTTTTCTCATAGGAAATACTTCCAAAATAAAGTATTTTATCTTGTTTTCTCTTTATGACATGTAAGCAAGCATAGCACTAAGCACTCATAGCCTTGTTCTTCATCTCTAGCACTTAATACAGTGTGATGTCACTGTGCTCCACGTACGGTTACAGAATGGGAATAAGAGGGAAATTACTGACCTCTTCACCATTTTTCTTTCTGCCCAAAGCATATTGTTTCGTTGCTTCAATAAATCGCACAGGAATATTATATACTCGCTTATTAAAGAATACAACTAGTGTATATGGCTGTTTGGAATCATGGCCAGAACTTTTTCGAATAAGAAATGATCCATCCTGTTTAATAAAAGAAAAGCATAATTATAGTTAGTATTATTTATGTTTGTACAGGCTACAATCAATTTACAAAGAATACCTATATTATATTCAAAACATGATTAAATAGCTTTATTTTTTATTATTAATTATTTTATTTTATTTTATTCCAAGGAAATAGTTCAGCTAAATACAGAAATCTATATCCTGATCAAGGTCAATACTAGCTTTTTTTTTTTTTTAAACAAAAACTTTCTTTTTAAAATTACATATATTTGACTTCCCAATAATCCTATGAGATTTCTTTTTTAAATTTTGGTTTATTATATATGACAACAGAATGCATTACAATTCATATTACACATATATCAATACTAGCTTTTTGATGTGTTAACTAACATATCATGTTTATAGGCTTTAGAAATGTGTGGAGGAGGGCTGGGGATGTGGCTCAAGCGGTAGCGCGCTCGCCTGGCATGCATGCTGCCCGGGTTCGATCCTCAGCACCACATACAAACAAAGATGTTGTGTCCGCCGAGAACTAAAAAATAAATATTAAAAAATTCTCTGTCTCTCTCCCCCCCCCATTCTCTCTTTAAAAAAAAAAGAAAGAAAGAAAGAAATGTGTGGAGGAATACTTTAAGATAAAACCTAGAGAACATTCCCAAACTAGGAAACAAGTCTACAAATTGCCTATGAACAGAGTATCAAATGTCATCCAAAAGTAATATAAGAAGAAAACAGAGCCTGAGTATTAAACCTTCTAGCTGATGGAAATTCTCTCCTTTAACATAACTTATGTTAAGCAGAAAAAACCTATAACACAGTACTCCAATTTTCATTAAATATTTCGTAAATATATAAAATCATAAATTCAAAAATTTAAAGCAAAAAATAAACAAAAGGCAGGAAGAAGAAATGCAACAAGAGTTGATCAAACTCAGGGAAGAATTTGAGGAAAAGGAAACAAATGTATCTCAGAAACAAAGAAAAATTTACCAAGCTGCCCAGGGGCTAAAAAGACCCAAATGAAGATTTAGTTCACAACACTGAAGGTGTGCAAACCACCAAGACATTTAAATAATGAGAGTTACGCAAGGTGTGGTGGCCACACGCCTGTAACCCAAACTGCTTAGGAGGCTGAGCAGCAAGATCCCAACACTGAGGTCAGCCTGGGCAATTAAGCAAGACACTGTTTCAAGGGGAAAAAAAATGGCTGAGGATGTAGCTCAGTGATAGAGTGCTTGCCCAGCATGTTCAAGGTCCTGGGTTCAATCCCCAGTACTGCAAAAGGAAAAGAAGAGGAAGAAAGAAAAGAAAAAGAAGAAAAAAGAAAAAACAATGAGAGTTTAAAATACATGTAATTTGAGACTTTAAGAAAAAAAAAAAAAGCAAAGCAACAGAACTGCCCTAGTTGAGAAAACGTATTGAATATAAACAAAAACTCACAATTACATATTGAAAGGACTTCTGAGTACTTGAGAAAATTGACCTGGAACAATCAACTCAGAGACATGTTTTGAATAACACTATTAGACTAAAAAAAAAAAAAAATTTGCAGAATCTTCAAAATAACCTATCAAAGTTTACATAAGGCAAGAAAATGACCTTAGCCTCAGGCTTCTCAAGAGGCTCATATCAAACAACATAATCCAACAGACCAATACTTTTAAAGACTCAGGCTAAGGATTTTATATCCAGCCAAGATTTCCTCCAAGTATCAGGCTATGAACAAAATAGCTTTTAATGTGTCAGAACCCGAATAATATAAACACAGTTCTTCCTGAGAATCCAATGCCAATATGCTTCATCAAACCAGAGGCAATTGGGTGCCACAGAAGGACTGATGGGAAGTATTGATATGTTTGATTGCAGAGGGACGACTAAACAAGGACAGGGAAGAATGGCTTGTAAATGCTGCCTATTCTGACAGAGTAGGAAGTGACATTTTACCCTTCGGTTGTCCAAGCTGTCCACAGTCAATGTTCCTAAGTGACTGGGGTTAGGCCCTCAAAAATTTATTTCCAGGTTTTCTGACTCATTTGGACATTTTGGCCCAAATTTTTAAACCCACCAATCAATCCCAAACAGCCTGTCACTGCTCATTCCTGAATGGAGCTCAGTCACAGCAAGCCTTCCAGATTCCTCCCTGGAATCCTCCTCTTTGCCATTGTTTGGAGAGCAGTAGAGACTGTGGAACCTTGACATGAAAGGACTGGTAGGAAGGAGGCAGAGGAGCCAGGAGGGATGCTGGAGAGAGGAGATGGAGTTCCTCTTGATTAAGGAACAAGATCTCTGAATCCATATTTTTGCAATTACATAATCAGCATTGATCAGGATTGACAGCTTTGCCTTTCTTAGCTTTCTTAGGTCCAGGGCACAACAGAGTTTAAAGATGAGCAAACCTTGTTAGATCTGTATAGCGCTTCTTCAGCCGACTTGCGATCGCAGGCACCAGCATACCATGGCTTACCGTGAATGTCAGCTTCCTGTGAAAGGCAGGCATTGTTAGGTGAACACAAGCTGGTCCCTAGAAGACTCTGCAACTTCTGTGCACTGGAAACAAAGATCCATTTTGCACAACCATGACAGGAACCAAAATTGTATATTTGCAACAATAACATGAAAATGAGTTAGAGCTTCCTTTGGCCAACCACAAGAATTATGTCCCAGTACTTGCACATAACTAAATGCCATCAGGTTCCTGAACCATTTATTTCCTTCTCCTAGATAAGCTAGTCTCTCCACTGTGCTTTCATCCTTGTTGATTTGTGGAGTGTTTAATAATTTCTGAAGTGTTTCTATGAAAATTATCTTATTTGATTTTTTGGGGGGAGGGTATCAGGGATTGAACTAAGGGACACTCAACAACTGAGCCTCATCCTCAGCCCTTTATTGTATTTTATTTAGAGACAGGGTCTCATGAGTTGCTTAGCATCTTGCTATTGCTGAGGCTGGCTTTGAACTCTCAATCCTCCTGTCTCAGCTTTCCATGCCGCTGGGATTACAGGCGTGCACCACAGCGCCTGGCCTTATTTAATTCTTGAAGGCAAGAAGGATTCATGCTATTGTCTCTATCTTACATTTTTACCTAAACTCAGAGACTTGTTCGAGTGCTCAGAGTCCTTTTTCTGACTGTTTTTAAACTACACTGTTTTATATGTGTTTTAATATTATAAATCTTCACAGATCTATTCTAAGGAAATTACAAAGTTTAAATAAATCCATGTGAGAGGAAGAACAACGAACATAACACATTTCCTTGCTATTTTGAAGAAACCTGAATTGTTATTCAGGGCATCTGGAACACAAATTGGAATTAAATGAGGCAGGTCTTAGTCACTGAAAAAAAAAAAAAGGCTATTTCATGCCCCTTGGTAAATGACAACTCACAAAACCAACTTAAAAGACAGGTTCTGTTCCCAAGCCTTCTCCTGACTTTCTCATCTCCAAAGACATACCTTTTCCTGCATCTTCCTGTAATAATTTAATATATCACAAGTTCATGATATACACATGTGTGAAATCACTACCAGTGAGTCTCTGCAAGGTACACAGCCAGAGGAATGAGAAGTCATGCCCCATTTGTGTACAATGTGTCAAAATGCATTCTACTGTCATGTATGACTAATTAGAACAAATTTAAAAAGTTCTTGATATACCTGTTCTGAAAAAGTGGAATTAGATGAAAGGCTGAGAGATGGTCCATCCACCGTTGGGCTTCCCCCTTCTGAAAATCCTGAGAAGGATTTGAAAAATCAATTAATCTTCACTGTTTCTTGAGCAGTTACTATGCCTACACCTCATTGCTGTGTTGGATGCTGCTGGAAATACACATGCCCCAAATCCTTAGGACAGTGGTTCTCAAAGTGTGGTCCAAGGAACCTGTGAATGAGCCCCCCAGATCCCAACACCATGCTGTTTTTCTTTTATAGCACTTTAGTGTGTACCGGATATTGCATTGTTTGTTAGGTGTTTATTTATATAGTCCATTTTCTTCAACAGAATATTAGCTTCATGAGGACAGGGTCTTTCTTTGATCCATCTAGTATCTCCTGTGTCTAGAACAGTGCGTGACATATGGCACATCTGGTTAGTAATGATTGAAAACATGACTTGGGTTGAAAAACAAGAAAAGAAATAATAAAGTTTTTTAAATAAAGAAAAATAGATTCCTCTAGAAAATCACTTTCACAGTTTGTGTTTCCAGAATTAAAATATAAAGACTATTTAGTAAAAGTTTCGTTTATTTAAGGTGAATCATACATGTTATTATAACCCCCCCAAAAGTGTTTTTTTTAAATATGCACATAAATTTTTTTGTAAATGATAATTATTCTGTTTATTTGAATGGGCTTAATATTAACTATTTTTTACTATATTACAAATTATCCATATAAGGTAGAGTTCCTTCCCCTACATTGGATAGAAATAAAATTAAGGTTTGGGGCAGTTACATTCTGTGAGCCTGACTGATCTGATTCAGAAATTTTTAGGGTGAAGTTTGCCTTGGGAAAATTATCCAGATACTTGGATAATTTTTTCAGGGTCCTTTTGTAGATATATTTGATGATCAAGATGTATTTTAGATTTAAATTAAATAGCTATCATTTATTGAGAACTTTCGTGTACCAAGTATTATGCTACGTACTTCCCATATTTTGTTTTCCTTTATCTTCTTATCTTAAAAACAGCTGTAGTGATTTGCTAAAAACAAACAAAAAATCCAGCCAGTACCATATTAAACCAATACTGAAAAAGAAAGAAAAGTAAAAAAAAAAAAAATTGTCTCACATCTATTTACCTTTCAAAGCAACTCTACGAAACAAATATTCTTGCCCCCCTTTACAAACGAGGAAACAAGCAAAAGGAGTTACAAATACCACACAGCTAGGAGTGACAGTGTTAGAACCTAGGACCATCAGAATTTAACCCCCCCTGAGGCTGCTCTTCATGATTCTATTGTACTTACTTGGCAGAGGTATGGGTTTTTGATGGACAGGTCTGAAAGGAAGAATTGCAAGTTAATTAACAGCAAAGGCACAATATGATTTTTTTGTTTGCTTACACTAACAATGCTCTAAACGGGCACATTTCAAAGGAATCAACCCCAATGACCAATAAGACATATTTAAAGTTAGGAGAGGCACAGAAACCTCAAAGATAAGTAATGTTGTTCCCTTTGGCTTTGAAAAAGAAGGAGCCTCAACTAAGGTATTATATTTTAGCTAAGTCCAATAATTAACCCTGACGATAGGTCTCTGCAATTCTGCACAGTTTGAAATTTGCTGAACACCTTTTAAAAGATAATTACAAAACAATGAAACATCGGATCTTTACTAAGCTCTACAAGCCAGTGTCATTATGCAGTGCCACAAAGCACATGCTAAATCCCACAGCAACAAGAGGAAAGTTGTTTTTGAAGGGCAAGATTCTTACTTCTGAGCAGGAGGAAACACTGGTGACTGCACAGCTTCTTGTCTGTGACTAGACCCTCGATGGCGTTCAGCAGGTACAGGCTTTTCTGGATTAGGAGAATTCTCATATTAGGATTAGAGTGGAAGGTTTGTCTCCATCCCCAAACCCAGCCACATTAGCCTAGGAGAACCAGGTTTGGTTAGATTCTTCCCAGGACATCATTGATCTGTACTCCTGCCAGTTTGCTGCAATTAGGACTCCTACCCAACAGTGTTAGAGGTACACCATACACCTCTGTGCTCATCCTCTGGCAAAGTTCATGGAGACTGAGTGGGTGGGGGCTGGACCTTTAAGTGTGTGAGCATAGGTGGGTGCCAGAAGATGAGCAGGTCTCAACACCCTCTGCACCCTACTTTCTATGTAGGATAGCTTCACCCACCTCCCGCCACCTCCTACAGTGTGTCTCAACTAGCCAGAAGATGTGGTGTCATTTGTTACTGATAAGAGGTGAACATCAGGATTCATGAATTATTCACTCTTTTTGAAGAATTAATTGGATCAAATTGAAATTTATCTCTGTAATAATGTTAATCTCACCGGCGTTTCACTGTTTTTGCTTGAGGAGTAGGTAGACAATGGACAAAAACCTCTAATGTAAGAAATTTAAGTTGAAGCCCATGGGGAACTTTACTCCTGAACCATTAATAAATATGATCCATAAATTATTTTAATGATTTATTCTCCCTCTTAGTCTGGGAGTGTGTTAAACTCTTGGTGTATCTGTGGATGAGTTTCCTGTATGGAAGAAAGATGGAGAGCTATGGGAACCCCAAAGGGAAAAAAAAAAGTAGCAAGAACTCAAAGATTTAAATACTGTAAGTGGTAAAATAGACTTCAGGGTTTGTTGTGGTGCTCTGAAGTTCATAAAGTGTGGCAAGTTACTTTGAGCTGCCATCTTTTGCTCATGACTTTAAAATTTGGTAATTTCCAAAGATGGTACAAGAACCACATAGGTTCCAGCAGCTTTTGAGCTCTGACCACACCTGGTTTGCTTCTACCATACTGGAGGCTTCCTTTCAGGTGAGAGAAGGTTCTTCCCCTGTTTTGGTTTGGATGGCCATCATCCCTGCTTTTTAAATAAATACACTGGAAGTGACATGCTAAGTTCCTGTGCTGGGAGTCCTTTGAGAAAAAGGACTCTTGAACAGTAGAACACATTCCCTAAGCCTGGTTTTTGGAGGCTCCCAAAGCCATGAAGTTGGCACAGGGTTGAACTTACTTCCTACAGAGGTTTTGAGTCTCAGAAGCCTCTGTATCACTCTATGTTCCCTGCTCAACAGGCAGGAGAGATTGCAAGGGATGGAAGAGCATGCGAAGAATACCTAGGATGTCCAGGAAGAGGAAAGCATCACAGGAAAGGCAGAGAAAGCTAGAGCAGAAAAGAAGTGCTGCCTCCTAAATAACTTGGGAGAAAAGACACGGGAGGTAGAATGGAAGACCCCAAAAATTAAAGCAGAGGTATGAGTTGTAGGCACAATCAGAAAAGATCCATTGTCTATCATCAGAGAAACCAGCACATTCCATGTAGATATGTCCACATGAATGCAGGAAGCAGTGAGAGGAACCTTCACTATGGCTTTAGCATTAGGTAGCTAAATTGGGTATGGAATTAGAAGTGTGTAGGACTTGAATGGCTATGTAATGTTTTAAGTGTCGATATTATGAATGATTCTTATGTCCTTGTGTTTTTTTCCCATTACACATTTTTCAAATGTAAATATTTTTAATAGGGAAATTATTTAAAAGGTAAGATTTTTGAGTTATGATAAAACAAAGGCAGAAGAGCAATTGAAGATGTACTAAGACAGTTGAATTTTAAAAAACATCAGTTTTAAAACTTAGCAAAAAGAACTTATTTAGAGCTGGGAATATAGCTCAATGGTAGAGCCTTTGCCTAGCATGTGTGAGGCCCTGTGTTCTTGAACTGGGGGGAGGGGGAGAAAGAAACTTGTTCAAATATTTCTAAGATACGTTAATAGCTCTAAATGAGTCTTTACATCTATGTAGGGCCAATGCATTGTCTCCTGGCCAGTCATATCTGTCTGCAAATGAGCAGGTATTTGGCAGGTAGACTGTAATCTACTCCAAACACCCTACATGGTAATCTCTCGTTCTGAGCTAGCTTTGCTACTCACTACTCGTTGCAAAGTGAAAGGCTATTTAGAAAATTCAACTTCATATTTGTCATTGCCTTATAAAGAGCAAAGGAAAGATAAAATTAGATTTAGTACAAATCCTTAATTAAAATTACTTTTAAAGGACATGCTCATTTTTTCAAAGTAATAGATTTACCTTCACAACCACTTGATGCATTCTGTTGAGAGGCAACTGGAGTCTGTGTGAGAAAAAAAAAAAGCAAAGATGGTCAAAGAGTGGAATATAGAAGTAAAAGCCAAAGCAGGGTTGGGGTTGTGGCTCAAATGGTAGAGTGCTCGCCCAGCACGTGTAAGGCACTGGGTTCGATCCTCAGCACCACATTAATATAAAATAAAGATATTGTAACCACCTAAAACTAAAAAAAAAAAAATCTTTTAAAAAAGCCAAAGCTCTATTACTAAAATAAATATGGCAGTTTTCTTTGATGCATAGCTAAGTATTTCAATCACAACAACAATTATAAATACACAGTCCCCATTCCAAACTTTGCATTAAATGATAACTGACTGGAAGTGTCTCATAGGAGAAACAGTGTCATCTTGGTGTGGGAACCCTTCTGTTCCATCATTGGGGTTCATGGGTATGGTGACCACAGTAGCTGCCCAGGAGTAGCACTTGTGCTTTGGTCTCTTGACTCCATCTTATGTGTGTGTTTGCTAAGGGATTGTCAATGTCAGGTTCCACAGAAGGGTTTTTTGAATTATGATAAAACAAAGGGCTTCCTTATATGATGGGGTGGCCCAGGTTCACCAAGTTCTGGCCAGAATCTGAGTTTAGTCTGAGGCTGTGTGCCTGATTGACAATGGCCTGCCATTTTACTGGAGGGGGGGTATAAGGCATAATGTAACGTGGGGCATGTTGCATCAGAAAAGAGGAAACTTAACTTGCTGGCTGCACCCGCTTCCCAGTCCTGGGGCCACATGTGGCTAAGAGAGCACCTAGCGATTAGCCAGAAGGCATTGCCCTGGGTTGTGATGAAGAATCGGACCACCTCTAGGATAGGCTCAGAACCCCTCTGCCCCCACGGACATTATTACTGCCTGTAGGATGGGTGTAGATGTAAATTCTCCCCACCCTGCTGACCTTTACCCTGATTGGCTCCTGTACATTATATTAGCTGTGTATGTTTTCTCGTTAAACGAGATCCTGCTTTGACAGTTCTCCCTGGTGCATCTGATTGTCCTCTGGGGAGGGAGGGCTGGGTGTGGGCAGCTAGTCGACCTTTACCTTTCTTGGCCTGTCCTGGTCGGGGCGTGCTCCCCCAATCTCTCCCACAGGTCAGGAGGGAATGGGGGGCTAAAAACCCCGACCAGGGAGGTGGGTGGCCAGCAAGACACAAGGGCTTCCTGTGGGAAAGGCAGAGGTGGTGGGAGGCAGAGAGTCTGGCCCCCACTGGTGATCTGCTGCACACCCTCAGTGAACTCACCAAGGTCCAGTGAGGACAAGCTCCTCTTAGGCAGCCCCTTCCCAGGTTACCTGAGGACTCCAGGTTCCTCTGGACTAGTTGGATAGCAGCTAGTTGGATTGCTGCGTTCACTATAGCTGGAAACATTGTCAACTTCAAATAAGTGGATAAGAATAAACACTGCAGAAAATATGAGACACTTCTAACTGCAAAATTAACTTACCGTCTTCAGTGGTGTAGCTGGTTTTTTCCTGGGGAATAAAAAGAAATTAGCTTTGTTAAAACACAATGAAGATAAAAGTAGCTACCGTCTTATTCCCAAATTTAAACTAGAATAATGAAGGAGATAGGAGTGGGTAGGAAGGCTGTCCTTGAAGGGCAGAGAGGGATGGAAATAGGATTTGGTGATGTCCTCCTGGTTCAGAGTCCATTGACAGATGAGGAAAGGCTAGGGGCGATGGACAAGAGCAAACAGGTGCAGCTCTTGCTCCAGTTCTGATTACGAGGTGACCTTGGGCCCTCTCTCTTGACTGTGTGGCAAATCTGAGCTTCAGTTTCCTCACCTGTGACACAAGGACCAGAGTAAGCATTTTCAAAGTGTGTATGCAGAGCCCCCTGCTTCCCTTCTGGCACCTGAGCCACCTGCTTAGGGCAGGAGTGGGATAAGAGGACAGCGAGGCAGGGCAGGTTGGGGCCGGTACCTCCCCACACCAACCTTCGCCCTGCTTCTAGGTGACTATTCTCTTCTACAAGTCTGTGTAAAATTTCATTCAGAGAGATCCAAGGCCAAACGAGTTTGCAAACCACTATGAATCGTGGCCCTGGAGGTGCTGCCTTCACTAACATTTCTGTTTCCAATACAGCTGGGAACCTAATACTGCTCAGGTTTTGTGCTTCTCTTGGGTGTTTATTTAAATCTCCCCCCTCTTCCTTCTCCCTCTGGCTTTTTGACTGAGAGCTGCAGCTAGGGGGATAGGAGAGGTATAATAACAATTACCCAGTGCCTGCAAGAAGCCTAAAGTTGGGTTAGGCTCTCCACAGTTATTTAAACCTTTTACAATGGCCCTTTCAAATGGATATTATCATCATATTTTAGAGAAGAGAAAACGGAGGCTTCAAGAGACTAACTTGCCCCAAGTGATAAAGCTGAGCCAAAAGAGAAGTGTGGAGAGTTTTGGTTCATAAATCCCTGAAATTAAGTCCTTCCTTCCTTCCTTCCTTCCTTCCTTCCTGTTAAGGCAGAGTTAAGATTATAACCATGCAGGCACTTTAGGCATAAATATATTGAAGTGTGCTTTTAAAATAACCTATTGGGCCAACATAATTTCACAGGGTCACTGTTTGTAATATTAACGCATTACAACATTCATCTGACCATATACAAAGCCCCTTTGGATTCAGTAAGAAAGAATAACCCTTTTGTGTCACCTTGGAAGGGAGCCTCCATGGTGTTGCTTTGAGCACCCTAACGTAGGCTGCAAATGGTACGCACATTTATTTATAGACCATTAGAAAGTAAAGATAAAACCCGTTAGGAAGCCTCAAAATTATTTTGGTGCTGGAGCATCTAAAAGTCAGGGTGTTGTGTTGAACACAGTAAGTCAACGGTAAGTCAAAGAACTCAGGATTTAATTAGAACTCTATGGGAGGATACACTCCTCCCTTCCTGTCTCAGCAGGGGCTCCCCACGTCCAAAGTGCAGCCTGCCCTGGAGGTAGAAGAGAACTCTGCTCAGAGTCTACAGGACAGCAGGGTCCTGTCGTCCCACCCCGTCACATTTCATAGAGATGCTTCCGAAGCAAGTACTCACCCAACCCTCGGCAGTGGGGATGGTGCCGCTGGTGAAGAAGGTGACTTGGATTCCCAGACCCCGCTGTTCCGACCTGCGTTAACATACACACGGTTAGTCCCTGTGTCCTGCGCCTGGGGCTGATGGTCTCAATGGGGCTGGCCTTTCTGGCAGACTCAGGAACGTACACATTTTGTGTTGCATATATTGCTAGTTGTGAAGCCAAGAGCTCACACTTGCATCCATGTACAGATGTACAGATGTGCATCACAGGGGTGCTGAGAGAAAAGGTCAAAGTCACCACTCCTGATACACAGTATAGACCCTGCTCACCCATAACCCCACTTCCATACCGTACGTGGTACTTCACCTCACATTGGATATTCACTTGTTCATTGCAATGTTCTCAGGGCCTTTGCCTAGGGCACAAATAGTCCAATTGGGACAAGTGGCAGGCTTCTCCCCAAATATCATCTTTCAAAGTCACAGAAGAGACCCAGAGGGCCTTGTGCCCTAACCCAACTCCCTTCTCACCTGAAGACAGAGCCAGACAATCCTTATGAGGGAGGAAGCATGAGAGGCAGGGGGAGCTTCATAGCTGGGGGAGAGGGAGCGCCTGGAGCAGGGAGGCCAGAGCTAAGCCAGCCATCAGTGTCTGCTAGCTGCTCCCCCTCAGGCAGATGCTGGGCTGCTAGGGCATTGTTTCTCAATGAAACTTACCGGGTTCTGATAAGACCTCTTGTCGAATCAAATTAAATTGAATAAATATTTAATTAAGAACCACTATATTGATAAGTCCACAATTCCTAATGGACTTATAGGAGATGCCCGTAAGCATAAGTTGGATCTGCTGCCCTTGGTATATATTATTTTAGTTTGCAAGACAACTCGGAAGTAACACTGAGACAATAATCAGAGCACACAATAACACTGAGGCAATAATCAATTGCCAAGAATTATTGAGAGCTGGTCTGTGTAAAGCACTTGAAGGCCTCGTGTCAGCACCCAGTGGGGTCTTGAAGGAGTGGACCAAGGCCTCCGCCTTTTTGACACAGGCAAGACACGTGTACCCCATGTCATCATATCTGAAAACTAACAAGAGAAAAAGGCCTCAAAAAGTATTTAAAAAGAGATAGCAGGGTTTATTCTCATAGACTTTACTACAAAGAGGCCCTCAGGCTTCTGCTCAGAGCCCAGCTACTCTTTTTCTATGCACAGTCCTTGCATAGGACTAACTTCCTAAACACAAGCAACAGTGACAGCAAAAAGTGGGTAGTTTTGCTGGGTGCAGTGGTGCACGCCTGTAATCCCAGCAACTTGGGAGGCTGAGGCAGGAGGATCGCGAGTTCAAAGCCAGCCTCAGCAGATTAGCGAGGTACTTAGCAATTCAGTGAGGCCCTGTCTCTAAATAAAATATAAAAAAGGGTTGGGGATATGGCTTAGTGGTTAAGCACCCCTGGGTTCAATCCTTGGTACCAAAAAAAAAAAAAATGGGTAGTTTTTCCCTAGGACCCGATGAAGCACTGCCACCTCCAATGCCACTCCTACTTACAGGCTGCCTGATTTGGATGTGATTTTAAAAAGCTATTTGGGAAAAAGGCTACATTTAGAATTTTACATTTCATGTGACAATAAACTGAAATGTCATCTCAATATGTCATATGAGTCCAACTGAGTTTAGTTAACTAGTGTACAAATTGAATACTTAAGCTTGATGCTGCTACAATATCCCTGGGTTGCTCATAGATTTTAGTGGAAGATTTCAAGGAAGAGCAAAAAAAAAGTTCTTGTCGGAAAAATAAGGAAGTAGAAAGAAGGTCTAAGTCAGTGTTTCCTCCCAGGGGTTTCCCTCTACTTAAATGTCAAGGACTCATTTGGCCTTGGTAAGTTATCTTTGTCAGACTTACTGCCTGGCGTTTCTACTAAGCTTCCCCTTCCCTCATATCTCCAAACACCCTGCCAACATCTTCCCTTTCCTTCACCTCTCCATAAATAACTTCTGGTGACCAGAGGAGAAGGAGGGCCTCCCAGCTCTTCTCTGTGGTAGAGGACAAGTGCTGGCAGAAAACCGGTGGTCCTGAATCAGGAAGACAGGGTTCTCGTTTTTCACCTGTCACCCAACTGGCTGGGTGCCTCTTGCAAGCCACAGTGCCTCAGTTATGCCCTCTGTGAAATGGGGGCACCACTACCTACCTTATCTAACTCAGAGTTAGTGTGGTAAGATAATATTGTAACTTCCAATTTTAAAGAACTGGTCAAATATAATAATGGTAATATACTGGGAAGAGATTTAAAGTTTTTGAAGGTCAAAAACATTATGCTAAGGAAAAGGAGCCCAATGCAAAAGACTACATATTGTATGATTCTATCTATATGAAATGTCTAGAAAAAGCAAATCTATAGCAACAGAAAGCAGACCAGTGGTTGCCTGGAGCTGGGGGTAGAAACAGCAGTAACTATAAATGGATATAAGGGATCTTTTGGGGTGGGGTGGGCATGGAAATTTTCTAAAACTGGACTATGGTGTTGGTTATATAACGTATTACTATAAATGTAATGGTTTACAAAAATCATTGAGTTATATGCATAAGATGGGTGAGTTTTGAGATATGTAAATTATAACCGATGAAGGTAAATTATAATTCATGAAGGATCTTGGGAAACATGATTATTATTGTCTTTGTTTTAGTGTCTTGTGATCAACCATCACAGTCTCTCTAGGGAGCCAGCAGAGTGCCAGGTACTGTAAATGCATCACCTGAAAGTCTCATGTAACATCAGGTAGGGCAAACCGGGGCTCCCAGAGGGTGGGTGGCAAGGCTAGAGTTTACGCCAAGGGTATTTGAGCCTAAACCTCTGGCAGACACTTTGCTCCCCTGCCAAGACGTCACAGGACATGGTTTAGCAAGTCAGATTCGCTTGTTGCTTCTCCCTTAGGAGGTGAAAAAGAAAGGGAATGGGGTGGGGGTACTTTTCTGGATGCCCAGGGAAGATGGAAACTAACTATATCATGGGCCAGGGTCTTCCAGCTGCTCTGGGACTCCAGACCCAGTTCACTTGATACCTTCTCCTCACTTCCAGGATCCTTGCTTTCTGGGAGAGCTTAATTCTTGGTCAGGATGCTTCAAGGGAAAATTTGGAAATGCAGTAGATATTTCTGGTTTCTAGGGGGAAGAGGCCAGGGATGCGGCCAAATATCTTACTCCGGGGCAGCCTTACTATAAAGAATTATCTGACCCCAAATGTTAATAGTGCCAAGGCTGAGAAGCCCTGATTTAGAGTAAAACTTTATATCAGAAGGAAGAAACAAAATTGTTCCCTGAGAGGTATACAGGATGTTCCACCAGAATGGTCCCAAATCAAGGCAGGTAAAAGAAGGGGTTCTTAAGGGTAACCGTAATAATGACAGAATCTTTCATTTTATGAGTGTGATCCTTATGTATTTATTCCTTTACTTCTCATAATACCACTAGGCATAGGTGCCCTTTCCTCCATTTTTCAGAGGAAGAAACAGAGCGATTACTTCACTTGCACAAGGTCCTAGCAAGTGTCAGAGCCAGGACCGGAGCCCTCTGGCCTGGAGTCTGGGCTGGGTCCATGCCTCTGTGCTTCTCAGGAGGCAACACCAAGGGAAGGGCAGAGCCTGTCGACGCACCTCATTTCCTATGTCTTCCTCAGTGAGCACCTCACTGGTTATCACAGGGCCAAAACCAACATTTTCCAGAGGTCCTAATGTGGTGTGGTCCCTCCCAAGTCACCTCACTGCCTCTAGCCCCCGTCCTTCCTCCCATCTGCATGCAATAATCCCATAACCAGGACATTATTTTCTTGTTTAGATTTGGTTTCTTCATCTGATGCCTCTAATATTAAAATACAGCTCCACTGGGTTAATATCAAACTTGTGAGTAATACATCCCATGGTTTAACGCCCTCGTGATGGTGCCATGAGATTCTTTAAATACAGCCAGTGTTTGGGGATGTCCCCTCTTAACCAACTGGCCCTTCACTATTTTGGTGCCTCCTTTAAATTAGGTCCTGAGCCAGCTGGGACATGGAACTGAGAGTCTTAGAGGAAAGACAGGAATCTCCCCAGGGGTCATGGGATAAAGGGCATGCACAGGGCAGTATAGGAGAACACATGATGGGACCCTATCCCAATGTGGGGTAAGTAAAGGCCTCCTGAATGAGTGCTGTCCATGCAAAGGTCTTCAAGGAGCCTCTAATATACTTGAGAATTAGATGAGACACAGAGTGATCAGGAAATAGGTAAGGGTCAAGGATATATATAGGGAGACTTTTGGTAAAGGAGAAGTCTCTGAAGGCCACAGAAACCAGAGCGGGAGGCCTCACACTGGGTCTTGAAGGATGGACAAGATTTGGTGCCTTAAAAGTAAAAACCCACATAAAGACCAAAGAGCAGGACCCATGAAATACAGGCAGATTGGAGTACAGGGTGTGTTTTAGGAAAAAGTCCTTGTAAGGCAAGCAGAGCTGAGATTAATAAACTGGTTTCTAAAGGAGGATTCATTCATCTGTAGTCAAACTCTCATCCTGACTTGGCTCCCCATTTCAACGGGGACTGTAGTAGCCTCATCATGACATTCTGGGCTGGCAAGCTGCCCTTTGTTCCCAGAACATAAGATGAGCTGAAATAGGGCTCTGACTTCCCATTCCCACATTCAAAGAGGCTGTGGGTTCTGAGGAAGAGGGTCAGACTAGAAATTGTGAGAAAAGTGAACAATTTCACCAGGAAAGAGTCTAAGAAATGATTTTTTAAAAATAGTTTCCCCTTCAATTTTCTCTCAAGGATCCTTTCAATGGAAGCAGAGCCTAAAGTTCCAAACCCTTGTGTTCAACTCTGGGATAGGGTGTGTGTGTGTGTGTGTGTGTGTTGTGTGTGTGTGTGTGTGTGTTGTGTGTATGTGTGTGTGTGTAGGGGAGACAGAGACAGAGAGAACACTCTGGGAATGCAGGAGTGGGAGTCCCACCCCTCTCTGCTGGTAATAGGGTGGGGAGTGGGTACCCCTCAGTATCTCTGGTCTTGAGGGTTGTGGGTACTATTCAGTATCTACAGGTTTGGGGGCTGCCAAAACCTACAGGAGGAGACAACCAGGGACTTCTTCTGGATGTCCATGGCTTGGGTAGGAGTGACACATAATGGGATGAGCTGGCAATATCTGCAGTAGTTCAGAAGCTCATTCTTGTTGCTAAGGAGAGAGCCGAGAGGCAGGGGTGTGGCTAAGTGACAGACCAGAAGGTATGCAGTGATAAAGGAAGAAAGCCCCACCTAGGGTGTAGCTGCTAAAATGGAAGAGCACATTTGGAAGGAAGAAACAGCAGGCTTTGGAAAGAACTCAGGAACTCTGAGATGTGTAGCCTGGAGGAACCAGGATGGCAATAGCTTTGAGCTCAGTGATGGCAATATTGAGCTTGCAGGGACACTATGACCCTCAGAAGGGAAATCAGGCAGGGGCTGGATACCAGGGAGTTATCCCATAGACACAAGAAGCAACGCCAGAAGAGTGGACAAACCTAAAAATATGAAAAGTCATCCTCTTTCCTGAACACTGACGGTGTGCCAGGCACTCATTAAGAGTTCTTGTCATGACTTCAGAATTCTCCTGTCAAGGGCAGGGGTTATTGTTTGTCTCCACTTACAGATTACAAAATCTGGGGAGCACAAGTCCAGGATGGTACAGCTGGTAACCAAGGATTCCAACCCAGGTCTATCTGACTCAAATCCCCTGATTTTAACACCACAGTGGAAGAGCTGAGGGCCAAACCCTGGGGAAATCCTCATCCAGGGGCCAGAGACAGGAGAAGCCGTCAAGTGCTTAGTGAGGTGGGATGTAGACCAGGACTTGTCTAGTAGAGGCCAGAGGGCCTGGGGTGGGGATTCTTTCCACAGAGGGGCCACCACACTGTTCCCATCTACTAAGAAATGGGAAATACAAGTGCTAATTTCTTCATGTTGGATCTGAGCTATAGATCTCATTTGGAAAAATTCAAAACCAAACCAAATCACGTGATACTATACCTGAAGCTGTTCCGGGAAGAGAGGTCAGCTTGGAGGAGCTATTTGGCTTGGTTGATCTGTTCACCATAGGAGCTTAAACACACAAAAATATATACAGATAACCATGACAGATACATTCTCCTGGGGAAAATTACCTCATCAGGAAAACTAAAGGGTCCTAATGGGTCAGACTATGGAATTTGCCAAGAATGAGTAAGAGACACCCTTATTAAACACACAAACCATTCAAAGAAGTCTCCTCACAGGAAATCTCTGGAATGAATATATTAAGGATTAAAGGAATAATCAGATTATTTTATGACAGGGATTTGTTAAAATGAATACAGGGAATATCATTCGCCAAACTGAAGTTCTAGGAGATGAATTTTTTTTTTAGTAGAAGTATGTTCAACCTAATCATGGAAAGGCCAAGTTAATAGTCCCCCCAACTCCCCAACTTCCCTTCAACATGCAATACATACAATTTCTCTTGGAGTGTGTGTGTGTGTGTGTGTGTATTTTAGGGGGAGGGTGAAGAGAAATATGTATGTGTTGTTTTATGGCAATGGTGGCTTGGGAATTCAGGTGGGTCTTAGGGGTACAGGAAAGTGTTGCTACAGGGAGGCAGACTTAATACCTTGCAGTCAAGTTTATTAGATGGGTAGTGTTACCTGAAGAGGCAAGTGCATAGGATTATATTCTGCAAAGGAACTACATTCAGAATAAACATGCCCTATTTTGGTGCCAGACCTGAGAGTGTGGCACTGGCTTTTTTAGGGTAACTTGTTTGTGAGAGCATCTGCTACACTGTACAGGATTTATAAATGCGATGTTTCTCATAAGCCTGGGATACCAGTGTTGAGAGCCACAGTTTAGTCGGAATGACACCTGGCATTTTGTAGAGGGAATGGTTGAAAGGTGACCCTGCTCCGGGATTAGGGAAGATCCTGCTCGGATTAGGGCGGATCCTGCTGCCTCCCCCCCCCCCCCCACTTTGGAGTTCCCGTTGAGTTCTCGCAGGGTTCCCTGAGAATTGGCACGCGGAGCCCGGTGGAGGGAGTGTGTTACCTGGAAGTGTGTGTAGAGTGCCAATGAGAGTTCGGGAATAAAGAGTTGCTGTTTGAACCTACAAGGTTTTGTGGCGGCTCGGTTATTTGTGCCCAGCCAGACTGCGGCATACCAGGACCTTTTAAGAATCAGGATTCACAGCACAGTTCACTCTTTCACCCCATCAGTCCTCTATGGAAATTGTTCCTAGTGCGCCACTGTATAAGGCAACATGGTGGCTTGCAGCTCTATTCGGTTTTATGAGAAATCTTTCTATGCAAGGGCAGCTGAAGGTAACCCAGTGCTTTTAGAAGTTGGGATGGAAATATTAAATCATGGGAGAGGAAAGTAGAATGAGGAAGGTAGGGGGAAAGGCTCCAGAGATGAGTTGCTCACTGATATCTCTGCTCCACCAGCCAAAGGAGGCCCATGCTGTGGCTACAGAGGAGAGAGGCCAGGGCATTGCCATGTCTGAACCCTTAATGCTTACTACTAAAGAGTTCTGAATGCCCTGAGTAACTTCTAGAAGTTGTCAGATGCGGGAATCTGCAGACTCTTACCTTTTTCAGATGGAGGTGAAGTGCTTTCTGTTGGATGAATATAGTTTTCATCATTATCTTCCACAGGGACAACATAATCAGCCTAAAGGAAATGCAGAAATTAATGAGAAGAATCTGGGTAGTCATAGTTGACTGTGGGGAGGGAAGGAGGAATTTTTTAAAACAAGGCTTTACTTATAATTCACATGCCATAAGACTGCACTATGTAAAGTTGACTACTTAGTGCAATTTGGTATATGGCCATCCCTTGGTATCTACAGGGGTTAATTCCAGGACCTTCTCCCTCCATGGATACTAAGTTCCCTATAAAATAGGTAGTGTTCACATATAACCAATGCATACCCTCTTGTAGACCTTAAATAATCTCTAGATTAGTTAAAACACCTAATGTGATACAATGCTGTGTAAACAGTTGTCAGGCAATAATGACAAGGAAAAAAGTTCATACGTATTCGACACAGGCACAATTTTGTAAAAATTATTTTCTGAACATAGTTGGTCGTATTCACAGAGTTGTGCCATCATCACCACAATCTAATTTTAGAAGATTTTTATTACCCTCTAAAAAACCTTGCACCCTTTAGTCATTCTCCCATCTATCCCCTCCCCTGACCTAGACAACCACAAGCCTTCTTTCTGACTATACAGATTTGCTCATTCTGAACACTGTATATATATATAAAGGAAAGCATACATCATGTAGTCTTTTGTCACATATTTACTTACATGATGATTTTCAGATTTTTTTCATGTGTCATCATATCATTCCTTTTTATGGACAAATAATATTCTATCGTATGAATATACCACATTTTGTTTATCGGTTGATGGGCATTTGGTTGCTCCTACTTTGGGGGATGTTATGAGTAATGCTGCTATATACATTTGTGAACACATTTTGGGGTAGACATTCATTTCTCTTAGGAATTCACCTCCTAGGAGTGAAATCACTGGGTCAGATGGTAGCTCTGTGTTTCATAGTGTGAGGAACAGTGAAATGTTTTCCAAAGTGGCTGCCCCATTTTCCACCCCCACCAGCTTTGTGTGATGGTTCTCCATATGTTCACCAATACTTGTTATTGTCTGTCTTTTGGGGTATAGGCATCCTCACAGGTATGAAGCAGTGTCTCTCGTAATTTTGATTTGCATTTCTTTGATGACAAATGATGGTGAACATGCTCATTTGTATATCTTTGGAGAAATGTCTATTCAAATCCATGCCCATTTTTAATTCAGTTATATTTTTATTGTTGAATTCACAGGAGTTCTTTGTATGTTCTATATACAAGTCCTTTATTAGATATAAGATTCAAAAAATTATTCTCCTTTTCTGTCAATTGTAGTTCATTTTCTTGATGGTATCATTTGTGGCATGAAAGTTTTAAATTGTGAAGTCCATTTTATCTTTTTCTTTTGTTCCTTGGGCTTTTTTGTTGTCCTATCTAAAAAAATATAGCCTAAACCAAGGCCACAAAGATTTCTTCCTGTGCCTTCCTCTAAGAATTTTATAATTTTAGTCCTTACATTTAAGTTTATAATTCATTTTTAGTTAATTGTGTATGTGGTATTAGATAGTGTTTAATACTATCTAATACTAATACCACGTTTTTCTTTGGTATGTGGTTATATATTTTTAGAAGCATTATTTATTTAAAAACATAATTCTTTCTCCATTGTCTTGGCACCTTGTCAATAATCAATTGACCACAGATACAGGGAAGTAATGATTTTATACCGATAAGCTATAAATGAGATAATAAGATCTTAAAAGCAGTTTTTACAATCTGTCCTGGTGGGTAGTCAAGAAAGGTACTAGGAGAAACACAAACCAATATTTATTGCCAGGTGCTTTTCTAAGTATTTTGCACATATTGTCTCATTTCATCTTTCTAACAACCCAATAAGGTATGTACCATCATTGCTCCGTTTCAAAATAAAGAAACGGAGACACAGAATAATTAGACAGCCTGCTCAAGGTCTCACAGTTAAAAAGTGGTAGATCTGGGATTTGAACCTAGCTGGTGCAAGAATTCAGGACTCACACTCCGATCCACAACACGCTAGTACTAGAGTCTTCCTCCTTCTCTTTCTGTCATATTTTTTATCATTTTTTTCATTTAATTGCAATTTCTCATCTCTTTCTTCACTTCCAAACCTGGCCAAAAGGTCCCGGGTTGTTCTATTCACACATCACCTCAATTCTGCAGTCATCTTTGGCTGCAGATGATTTGGCTGAGGGAGTGAGGCTCTGGAGTTGAACAGACCTGGGAGGAAATTGTGCTGGGCTCTTGTCTGGTTGTATGACCTTTTTGTGGGGAGGGGTGTACATTGCTATAACAGTAGAAGTCTTCTAGATCTGCCAATCAGAGGGGAGCTCTTGCCCCCTGCTCTGTTGCTAGACTCACTGTGTCAGAGTGTAGATTCTGAATAGGTTCTCTGATCTGTGTTTGTATTTCCAGTGCCTGTATAATCAAGAGGCTCAGAGAATAGAATTGAAATTGGCTAATCCAAGAGCCAAGGCTGAGGTAAGATGATTTAGCAGCATTGAATAGTGGGCATGTTGAGAGGCTCTAGTATCTTTGTAGGACCCTTTTGGCCCCATGGGTCAACCTTTCTGGATTAGCTGGCAGTTTGAGCAACATATTGCCAGAGTCTAGCTTTTCTTGCAGGGACTAGTTCCTGTGACAGAAGAGGCTGAGTCCCCAGGAAGCATGTCCTTGCTCTCAAGCCTGTAGTCAACAAAACCCTCAAATTTCTTGTATCTGAACACAGAACTTTGGCATTGGCACTTGGCACCAATACCTGATGGTTATAGGGAAGCCAGAAGCACAGTGCCCTACCCAAAGCTTCCTAGCCCAATTTCACACTTCAGAATTGATTCTTTCCTCTGAATTCTCAGTTTGTACTTGTTTTGCCTGCAGTGCTTGATTACACTAGAAGCTGTTTTATCTGTAATGTCTAGAATTTGAGCTATTTAGAATAATGATATTTCTGGAATCAAGACATTCTTATTCCAAAAGAGCAATACAGAAAAAAAAAATCGCTCTAATTCCAACAAGTTCTGTTTGTTGGCTTTGCTTTGCCTTTTATAGGGTTTACAGACAGGGAATGCATAATATATGTTTCCTAATTGCAATTAAATGCTTGAAGATCATTACCTGACAAAATAAGTGAATGATCAAGAACCATCACAATCTATGTCCTAAGGAAGTCACCCTGGCATTGCTGTATCTTATAAACCCCATTATCACATGAACAAATCACAAATGCTTGGCTATAGTGACATCATTAATTGCTCTTTTGCCCCCTTGGTACTAAGGATTGAACCCAGGGCTTTACACATGCTAAGTAGGCACTCTACCACCGAGCAACATCCCCAGCCCAATAATTGGTTTTTTGACATCAAGTAGATTGTTCTACTATTGTGACCTATGTTTATTAGCAATATTTTATTTATTGTAATATCATGATTCAAAAATATAAGTGATTGCTCTTAAAATTATCTTAGATCAACTTCAACGTTCATATGTTTCAGCATTAATATACCATTCTTCCTGTCTGCCTTCCCCTGGACTACAGATTTGAGAATCAAAAGTGCCACAAATTCATCCTATTTTCACTTTCCCATTGCCCCAGGCCCTATTTGTTTATCAGGGGTCATTCTGATTAGCTATTACATGCCCACACACAAGATTCTTCCTTATTACAGGTCATGTGGGCTTTTAATAGCTTTATACATTATTTTGGTGATTTTTATAGCAATACCTACCAAGTTAGGTACATTCTGATTTTACAGATGAGGAACTTGAGGGAAATTGAGTGATCTGTTCAAGGGTCAAAGACCACAGGTATAAAGCCCTGTAAGAACAGGTACTTGGTCTGTTCTGGGCATCACTGAAGCCCTGGAACCACACAGTGCTTGGCACATCTGTGTTCAATGAGGGGCCAGTCTCTCCTCAGTGGGTGTTGCAGAGGTGGTACTGGGGAGCTGTTCAACAGCCAGCCCCAACACCTCACTATCTGGGTTCACATGCCAGCTCCGCCATCCACTTCACTTCCCTGCTGTATCATGGGGAGATTCCAGACGGATTTACTGTACCTCATCCTCAAGGAGGTCTTTAGGTTTGGGTGGGATCTGAGGCTTCTGCAGAGAGGCTGGGATCGGCAGCGTGGAGGCCAGTCTTGCTTTTGCTGAAGGCCAGCTGGGCTTACTGGGAAGTGTCTTGCTGAAGGGTGGAGACTGCCTCTGGCTAGACCGATTATCTTGAACAAACAAACAAACGAAAAACAAAACACAACTCAATAGAGGTTCCGGACTGTTCCTTGAGTGGAGGCCAGGAAGATTAGAAAGTATGTAACTACTGGCATCTATGTAGCTACAAATAATCAGTGAGGCAGTCCTTAAAGAGCAAAGTGGAATGTTCAGCAAAAAGTTTCTGTTGTCTCTGACTTACACAATAAACCCCAGAAGAACATCCTCATGCAAAACATCCTCCCGGGGGAGTGACGGAAGCCCATAGGCCCAGGAATACCGCCAGGCCAACACTCTTACAAGCACAGTGGACCGAAGCAGCACAGGGAGGGTGTGTGTCTGTAAGTGGTGTAATTCTCAATCCTGTTAAATATCAGAACTAACTGGGGAGCTTTAAAAATCCTGAGGCCTCTGCCCCACCCCAGGCCTATTATGTCTGAACTTCTTTTAAAAATTCCCCAGGCTATTCTAAGGTACATCCAGAGTGGCCATCACTTGTGTGGGTCAACCTATGTCCCTTCCCTCAATGACTTCCCTCAATTCCTAGAGGACCCTGGCAACCCCCTTGCACCAGGTCTGTCTATTTTCAGCAGATGTTGGGGAAAGATCCAGCTCTGAAGCCAAAATGGGTCTGGGTTCTGCACCCCCCTCTGCCACTCACCGCACACGGCTGTTGGGCTGGCTATTCAACCTCTCTGGGCCTCACTTCCTCATTTTAAAATGGAAGATCATGCTACCCACTTCAGAGAGTTATCGTAGGAATGAGAAAGATGGCAATGAAAGCAGCAGGTGGGGCATGCCTGCCTAATAAGCAGAACTAACATTACTATGCCAGGCCATGAGGGCTTAGGAACTGCAACTCTACCCAGCTGATGCTGTGAGCTAAGTTTTGATTTGGACTGATACAGTTTAGGAAACTCTAAGCGTAGGAACAACCTGGTGCATTTCCTACCTTGGGGACAGTACCTTTACTTACAGTGGCCTACACTGCCATCATTGGCTTCCTGCTGCTTCCTCTGTTATAGTCCCCCTAGCTTGGTATAGCTGCCCTTGCACGTTATCCCCCTAACTCCACACCCTCCCCTGATGCCTGTTCTTGCCCTCAGCCCTTGCTTCTTCCTTGTTGAAGGTATGTAGTTAACGGCACTGTTTACTGTGCTTTTGTACTTGGGCATCCAATTGCTGTGCCTATTAAGTTTTATTTACAGTTCTTGGAGTTCGCTCAGATTTCTTAATGCAATATTCAAGTCCATCCAAGGTAGCAAAATGTAGAAGACAGGTTTTGAAGTGCATGCCCTTGAATGAACCACCTAGCCACCTTTGCGGTTTCCTGGTCTGCAAAATGTGCCTAGCAAAACCCTTCCCTTTCAGGGTTATTACAAAGACTGAACAAGATCGGTTACCAAATCCAGTGGGCAGTGCCTGGAGCACAGTGGGTTACACACGAACCTTGAGGACTGAGAGGTCAAGTTCACACAGAACCTCAGCCGAGTTAGTCCATTCTTCCAAGCTGCTACTTTCCATCCACCCCCCCCCCCCAACTTGAGATGGACCCCAGGGACACTCTCCCACTGAGCTGCATCCCAGCCTTTTTAATTTTCAAACAGGGTCTGTGCCTAACTTGAACTTGCCATCCTCCTGCCTCAACCCCCTGAATTGCTGGGATTACAGGCTGGTGCCAACCTCTTCCTTTTTAAAGAGGTTATGAAGAGAGTTGATTAGGCCATGTCTGCAAAGCACTAAACTGTGAAGTATAAAGTCTGGGGAATATGTTGTCCTGTCTCTGGCACATAGTAGGTGCTCTACAGACTAACTGTGGAACAAAACAAGGAGCAGTTGTAGTCAATGAGAAAGGACAGAAGTCCTTTCCATGAGGAAACACTTGGTACAAATGCTAGCACTGCCCCAACTGTCATGGACATGCTGGCTGGCCTCACTTTTGGGGAACTCAATGTCTCCTGCTAAGATTGGAAAGTAAATTTTTTCTTTATGGACAATAAAAGGAACATGCAGCCCTCAAGACCAGACCTAAGCTGTGTCCATTTGAGTTGTGAGGCTAATTCCAGGGCTCCTAGGCTTTCCTGACCCTCCTGCCCTGTGGGCAGGGGGCCAGGATTGTCTGGTATGGGTGGGAGTAGGGATCCTTGAGGGTGGTCAGAGTTCTATATGAACTTCTTAAGCAAAATTCCATGAACTCGTGTGCGGGAAGCCCTAAGAGAAGCAGAGGTTGGATTGCCTTGGGCCTACTGGGGCAGGGGCGGGGGACGGGGGGAACATCAGGGTGTGCTTTATTAATTTATTAATTCTTTTATTTTTGACTATTTTCAGTGATCCTGATTTAGGACAGATACCTTTCACCTGGAATGGGGAAATTTGCCATTTGGGCTGCATCTGTGAGCACCCAGATTTCCTGCTTGGAAGAGTGAGCCCTAATGGTGGGCAGAACAAAGGGCACTTGGGCAGCAGCCTGTTTGTCCACCTCTGTCCCTGGGGGCCTGGAAGTCAGAGCAGCTGGTGTTGGAGTATGTGTGTGTGTGTGTATGTGTGTGTTGGGGTGGGGGATGGCCTTACCTACATACTCGCCCCTGGTGAAGGGCAGGGCAGGATGGATGGTCCTCGTTTCCTGCTCGGCTGGAGGCGGCTCATAGCTATCATCCCCATTCTCCTCTGCAGGCATCACGTACATCTCTGAGTCTGAGTGATCATCTGGATTTTCATAGTCGCTGTCCTGCAAATGTAGACACTACGCTCAGTGTACCTGTGTCCCTTAGTCACCAGCACAATTCCTACCATCGCAGGTCAAAGTGGTTCCCCCAGTGTAGTGATGGGTAAGCCAAGGCTGGGAGATGCTGACCTTGCAAGGTTAGGCAGCTAACAAGAGGCAAAACGGGGTCTGAGCCACACCTTCCTCCCTCCAGAGCTTGTTCCCTTAACCCCTGCAGCACACTATTTAAACATGAGGGTGACTGAGACTCTATTTGTAGGCCAAGAACAGAAGATAAAATACATTTTTAAAAGACAGAAAAAGAACCCAATCTATAAATAAAATAACCAATAGGTTCTTTCTATCTTAAATGCCGAGAAAATAGGAGAAGGTGAGGGGATGCCCCAGAAAACAACACAGATGTCTTTGAGGGGATGTGGGTTGTTTTGTTTTGTTTTAAGCAGAGCTAATAAGCCAGGGGAAGAGAGGAGTCTAGACCTGAAACACATTCAGAATCCAGTCTCTTTCTTTCTTTTCCTTTTTTAAAAATACACATTTTAAATCCACATTAAAATACACTGGTATGGTCTGATGCTCAAACAGTGAAGATGAAGTTTTTCTAGACTCTTCTCTCCCTTGACACAGGGAATAGCTTGTTGTAAACGTTTTCCATAGATAGCTTATCTAGGTACCATTTATGTATACAATAGTTTGGAGGAGATGTTTGACTCAGACTTAAGAGGTCTTCTGACCTCTGCATCCACCTCCCTTCCCACTGCCTATCACAATGCATGATCCACACATGGATTTCCAATGAATGGATGGGGAACTTGCTTTTTTAGCTTATTTCCTTTCACTTGCAATTTTTATAACAGGAATTCCTCAGGCAGACCTGGAGGCTTTAGGAACAAGCTTGGATTTTATCCTGTGTGCAATGTTGGACCACTACACGAAAAGTAATGGTGAGTGGATGTTTACTTAATTCTTGTTACAGCTGGTATCTTCATTTTGGTTTTTTGACTTTGGGGCAAGTCATTCCCTCATCTCCAAGCTGGTTTTACTCGTGTTTTCTATGCCCCCACTGTGTGCTTTTTATTCAGCCCGAGAATTCCATTTTCTCTCTCCTCTGGATGTAGACCACTGGGCTTCTTTGTTTTGCTGCAGATGCAGCCTTGTGATGCAGCCAGAAGGGGGCGCAGCTGCAGCACGTCTGGGGATCAGCAGCTGCAGAGAGCTCTCTGGGAGGGACTCCAAACCCAAGTGGCTGGTAGGGAAATCACCTCTTCCCCTCATTTTTATTTTCTTTTTCTGTGGTTGAAAAAGGGGGAACTGCTATATCCTATGGCTGTATAAGCTCCAGGTGGTATATACAGCCCAGAACTGGGCTCAGGCCTGATTTTGCTGCCTACATGGAGTCTGCCTCCTGGGTTCTCATTCCACTGGCCACTGATTGACAGAGGGAAAATCATTTTAATTCTCAGCTTCCATTTTCTTCTCTGGGAAGTGGGTGCCTAGGTGTGTGGAGCCTTCTTGGATTCTCTGTATATCTGAAACTCAGATTGGATCAGGGTGGCATTCTAAATGAATTTGATGTGCATTAGGATTAATTTTTGTGAGGAAGGACATCTTGTCCACACAAGACTCAACCTAAGAGACAAGTGGCTTCAGGGGCTCTTGCAATTGTGACAATACCTTGGGGAGGTCCACAATTCATTCTGGCACACCACCTACCAATGTCTCCATGGCCTGTTCCCTCTCTCTTACTCTGTGGTTCCCAGAGTTCTGATAATGTCCTCCAGGCCACAGTAGCCACCTCAGTGGTTGTGAGTCTGGTTGTGAGCTCTGAGGGCCTGGGTTTGAATTTGGAACTGCAAGTTACTGACACTTTCCATAGTTGGTCCTGGAGGTACTTTTCTGTAGGTATTAACTCTTTCTTAGTGTGTTTGGGCTCCAGGACAGGGGTCAGGAGGTGACAGAACACAAGGGAATGTAGGGCAGAGGCATTTACCAACGGATAGAGAAATCCTTAAACATTTTAACATCTATTTTGGCTGTGTGGTGACAGCACTGAAAATCTCGTTAGGGCCGAGGTGAGAATTAAATGAGACAAGGAAGGTCAAGTTCTTAGCCTGGCACATAGTGAGTGCTGGGTCAAGCCGGCCATCCTGAGCTCACTTCTGCCTCGTCTGCAGGTTGCCTTTCCAGACCCGCCCTCTTCCTGTGAGGTTCAGCTGAACACCAGCGAATAATTCAGAAACAATTCCTCTGCAAGGCCTCTCACAGGGCCTTGGTATCCTCCCAGACCCCGGAGCAAATACTTACAAAGTCATCTGACCACTGCTCCTCGTCAGCAGGACTCTCTGAAATGGTATGAAGGACACAGAGTGTATAAGCATAAACCTCAGCTGGCCAGCTCCAGCCTGTCCTCAAGTCCCCACACCTGCATTCCCTTTCTTGGGGCCTCCTAGTGCCTTTTTCTTAGCCTTAAATAATTATTGCAGTCAGATGTTCATTTATTTTTTAGTTTTTTTTTTAATTGATTCTCAAATCATAAAGTTCCACTGGAGCAGAGCCAAGGTGCTTCTGACCTGTGCCTGTCTTTGTCAAGGGACACTTCTGGGGCCTTAGAACAACTCAGTAGAGACCTGCAGTCCATTCCATGGCTTCTAAGGCTTTCTTTGGATCAGTATGTGAATCAACATGGAGTAGGAAGAGCACTGCACAGGGAGACAGGTCTTAATTCTCATCCTGATTCTAAGTTTGATTTTGTTGTTGTTAAAAAAAATAATAATAATAATCCAGTGCTTTACTTGTACCAAGCAATGTTATCAGAGCTTTGCACCTTTTTGGCATCCTCAAAAATCTTGTAAGGAAACTGAGGCCTAGAGCAGATAACTCATGTGTCCAAGGTCAGAGAGTAAAAGGCAGAGAGAGTAAAGGGCAGGAGCAGAACCCTGCAGATTGACTTCAAAGCTCTTTCTCTGAACCCCCAAACCATATTGCAGTCAATGTCCTGGGGTCTGTAGGGGACATACAAATGAATGTGACAGGCTGTGGGCCTAAAGTAACTTATAAATTTAAAGAATAAGGAAGGTCTGAATATTTCTCCTCCAAAACACATTTTGAGTTTAGCATCTACCCCATCACATAAACTGACCATACGATGGTAAGATGTTTTTGTTTTGACATTTCAATAGAAACCTTTAGACAATGCCTGTATGAAATCCAGTGCCTCATCTTCCTAAATCAGATTTGCTGAGCCTTTTCTCAGTGAGTCAGGGTCTACTTTACCACTGGGTGAATGTAGTTGCAGTAATCATCTAACCAGTTCCTCTATCTATCACGTTATCTTTCTTCTCTAACTCATCTGTCCTTCAGTTTCTGGTTGTTTTCTTGAAACAAAGATTGGACCATGCTGTTCCCTTTTCAAGGATCATCGTGACTTCCTATGGAATAAAATCAAGGTTCTGCATCCAGACATTCAAATGCTCCGCCCACTGTCCCTCCTTGGACTTTTCTTGCTGCAGCCTTCCATTCCCGCCTTCCATTCCCAGGAAGCTTGCTCCCGGGAGTGTGCGCTTTCAGAAGTTCTCTGCTCTGCTCATGCCATTCCCTAGCCTGTCGTCCTTCCTCCTTGGAAATTCCTATCCTTCCTCCCCCATAAAGTCTTCCCCAGAACCTCTTGACACAATCATTTGCCCTCTCTTCTGGGCCCTCTTGCATGCCCCTTGCATCTCTTTTGGTGCCTTGAAGTCATAAGCACTTCACCCTCTTCTGGGCTATAATTAGGTTGTTTGTGTCTCTCTGGACTGAAAAGCAAGGCTTATCTAACTTAGCTTTGTATATGGATGGTGTTTTGCATTTGAACTGCATGCACTGGTCAAAGTATGAACTAATAAGTGAGTCAAATGAAAATCAGGATGATAATAATGGATTCCTATGGTCTGGGTGCTAGGCTAATGTTATAAAAGTCTATCCTGATAATAACACTGGGTATGTGTGGTTATTGTCTCTGTTTTATAATTAAGAGGTCTGGGCCTCTCTTAGAGAGGTTGCAAAAAACCCTCATGATTGGTGAATATAGGGGATGAATTGGAGGCCAGGCTACCTGTGTTGGCCCCTGTTGCTGATATCTCATGTGAACTGCCTAGCCCTCCACTAAGCATTCAGATAAAACCAGGGAAAGCAAGAATGATCCAGTCCAGACATCTTGGCACAATGGAGGCAAGAAAAGGTAAAAGGGGCCTTGAGGTAGAGGTTACTGATGGCATCCCACCCACCTAGCTACTTCTGTCTAGTCCAAGGGCAATTCACAGTACTATGCTTGCAAAGTCACAACCTTGCCGGCCATGACCTAGAGTACTAGACCCAAAGTCATGGCTGGCTTTCTGGTGAGTCAGGGAGCCTCCCGAAGTGTGCAGGTGGTGGTTTTAGAACCACGCAGTCTGGGATCAAATCCCGGCTCTTCTCTGTACTAGCTGCTTGGCCTTGGAGCAAGGATTTAATATCATTCAAGGCTCAGTTTTCTCACTGTAAAACAGGAATAATAATAGGGACTGCCTCATGTTTTAGGGAGAATCAAGTATGCAATACCTGTAAAGTGCTTTGCAAAACCTGGCAAACAATGAGGATTAATTTTATTTTTGCCTTGGATATTGCAAATGTCACAATAAGCCCTCAAAACACCACCAATACTAATTTGCCCTAGGGACAATCATGCAGTATGGCCACCACAGACAAATGGACCCAAGAAAGCCTCTAGTGTATTGGCTAAAATGTTGGGGAGGATTAAGTTCCTGTTAGCTCTGGGCCAGTGGTTTAATTGTGTGTGTGTGTGTGTGTGTTTACACAGCCCCACCCAGAGAGCTAATATCCTGGTCAGGCCACCTTGTCAGGCAAAGCCTTTCCCAGTGTGTCCTTTCTGGGACTTATGGGCTTATGCTCCATTTTTCATGTCAGAATCCCATGGTGTACAATGGAGGGAACCCTCTGCCTGCCTGGCCCAGGCAATCAGGACTCCCATGCTCAACCTGACCTATGGGACAGCACCAGGTACTGGGAGGCACCTGGGAGTGACTGTGCCTGCTCTGGACCAAGACACAGGGGGTTGAGGTTGGGTGCTGGGGTCAGACTGCCTACCTCAGAGCCCTGAGCCTGCCACCTGGCAGCAGCATGGTCTTGGCCAAGTTGCTTAACATCAGAGCCTGTTTCCTCGTCACTAATCTGGACATTGGTTATAGCCTCTTTCGCAGTTTTGAGGGAATGAAAATGAAAGAATATTGCAAAGTGCTCAGAAGAGTATCTGACAGAGTAAGGGTTCAATGAATGTTGTAAAAAGAAAATTTGCATTCTCTGCAATTCTTAGAAAATCTTAAAGGGTAGATTCTTTTTCTACATCAAGGATCAGAGGCTCAGAGGCTCAGGAAAGTTGCAAAGCTGTTCCAAGTTCACACAGTGCTCAGAGGGCAAAGCCAGGATTGCAGTCCGTCCTAAATGACCCCAAAGTCCAAGGTCTTCACACCAAAGCACATGCATGATGGAAATAAAAGACCTGAAGACTGAAAGCACGATCACGCATTAGATGGAGCACAGTCCACAGTAAGGTAAAATTTCTTGATTAGCATTCGGCACCTGGACTCTTTGCCAGGTGCTGGGAAAGCTCAGAGAGGGGCACGTTGCATATGAGGTGCACCTGGCTGAATGCTGGATGTAGGACCAAGAGGGACTTTGAAGGATGGGCAGGATTCCAGGGGGGCATCTTCCTCCACTGGCTAAGCAGGGGCTTATGTGTCAGTCCTAGAGGAGGGCTGAGCCAGTGGACAGGAAGGGACCTCCACAAGGAGGCACAGGAAGCCATGCTGAGTGGTAACACAGAGCTAGACGGGCTGTCAGCCACGGTGCACCCTGCGATGAGCAGCTGATGAGGGTGGCTTTGAAGACATGAGGGCTGTCCAGACTGGGATTCTGAGACTGGGGAGAGATGGCTGGAAGGACAGCCCTGTGGTGAGGCTGGAGCACAGTGGGGAAAGCGCAGGTGGGAATCCAGCCTCTGGGTCCCGAGTCCCCAGGAGTGCCAGAGACCCTACAGCAGATGCCTGAGGTGTCTTGGCCTCAGTTGGGTCCTCAATCCTGCTCTGCAGGCCATGCTCTGGACCACTGGATCCTGCACATTTCTTCCCCTACAGAGCTGGTGGTGGCACTCCAGAAGCCAAAGGGAAAGAGGAAGGGAGGCAGGCAGTCAGCTGGCAGTGGTGTGGGGATAGATGCAGGGAGCTAAAGAAACCACAGAGCCTATGGGGAGACAGTAGAGGCCTGTTCCACCAAGCACCACCCTGAGGGAAGAGAGTGATGTGATTTAGTATAGAGGCAGAGGACAAGGCCAGGGCCAGGCTGGCTAGGAGAGGTGTTTTGAGTCTAAATACTTAACACTTAGGAACTTCCTCTGTCTGTATGTTTATTCATCTTTCAAGGAATCATTCGCAGGGAAGTAGGGTACAGTAATGGGGCCTACAGTCCTGGCTCAGCTGGGACCTCACTGTGTACCTTGGGTGGTTACTTTGCCTCTCTGGTCTCCAGTTATCCCTAAAATGAGAAGTGTGGATTGGGTGATCCTTGAGAACCTTCTAAGTTTTTAAAACACCTTTGAGTCCAAGTTTCCTTCTTCTACTCTTAGTTCCCTGGGCAGGACTCATCCTGAATACCGCAGCCCTCTGCATTGGCTTCGCCGTACCCGTGCATCAGAGCATAAACAAGGACATAGAAAATTGAGAAAATGCTGGCCTGGGCAGGATGCCAGGGCAGGGCAGGGCAGGAGCAGTGTTAGGTCTCACTTCTCTAGTGGACAAGGATGGCTGTGTCCCTTCTGCATCTGTGGTGGGCATTTACCCAAAAGTGCCCCTGGGAGTCTTTTCCCTTTCCTTCTTTTTTCTTTTTGAACAAATAAACACTTATTTAATTTAATTTAATTTAATTTTTTGAGTGGGAGGAATTTTTATTTTTTTATTTTTAAATTAAGTTTATTTTTAACTGACACATAAAAACGTAAAAATAATACATATTGATGGGGTAATGTGACTTTTGATGCATTATATATTGTATAATATTTAAATCAGGGTAAACCATCCCCTCAAACATTTGCCATTTCTTTGTAATAAAAACTATCAACATCCTTTCTACTAGCTTTTTGAAATGTACTGTACACGGTTGCTATTTGGAGCCATCCTACTCTGCGGCAGCCAGAACTTCTTGCTTCTATCTAATGGTGAATGAGCACCTGGTGGTCAACCCCTCCCCAGCCCTCTCTTCTCCCTACTCCCCCAGCCTCTGGAAACCACCATTCTAGTGTCAACTGCTGTGAAATCAGCTTTTCTAGATTCCATGTCTGAATGAGATCCTGGTACTTATTTTTCTGTGCCTGGCTAATAATGAGCACAATGATCTCTAGTTCCCTCAGGGCTGCTGTGAGGACAGGACTTCGTTGTTTATTTATGGCTGAAGAGTATTCCACCGTGTGTACAGGTACCACATTTCCTTTATCCACTTAGTAGTTGATGGACACTCAGGCTGTTTCCATTTCTTGGATCTTATGAATAATGCTAAATTAAATATGGGCATGTGAATGTCTCAGCATATTGATTTCATTTTACACACATACACACACACACACACAGTAGTAAGATAATAGGGTAGTTCATCCGTTTGTTCCTTCCTTCCTTTTTTCTATACTGGTGATAGAGTCTAGAGCCTCACACATGCTAGGCAAATGCTCCGCCACTCAGCTACACCCCAAGTTCCTATTTTTAATATTTTGAGGAACTTTCATACTGTTTTTCATGATGAATGTACTAATGGAGTCTTTTTCTTATAATTGCTCTGATCCCCTCCCTATGTAGCATCAGTAGCAAGAGAAGGAGAAGAAGATGGATCTCCTGAAATGTCACAACAGCCCCTGGAGATCAGGGGCCAATGGTACAAGAAAAGAGGCCTTGTTCAGTTTGGGCCCGACAGGGGTTTGTGGAGTGACCAGGGGGCTTCTGCAATGACCCTCAAAAGCTCTGAAGAAGCGTCCCCTGCCCTGTGTCCCAAGCCAGATCTCACATTTCAAAGATGTAGGAGACAGTTCAGCTCAGGAACTGGGAAGCAGGTCTTGGGGTGGTTAATGTCAGGGCCTGGTGCCTTCAGAACAATAATACATGTTCTAGAAAAGTGTAAACCTCTTAGCTTGGGTCAAAGGGAGAAGCAGTAGAAAGAGACTGAGTTGGGTTCCCCCCTTAGTGGCTGTAGTTACCTTGGGCAGGTTATTTAATGACTCTGAGATGCAGTTTGCTCATCTGCAAGACTGAGACAGTAATTTCTGCATAATTGTGTTTGTGGGAATTTTAAATGAGATATACTGGTAAGGAGCTTAGCATAATGCCCAGAGCAGAGTAAATACCCACAAGTTTGGGATTTCTTCCTTCCCACAGTCAAGCCAGCTCCCTGAGACCAACAGAGAGGGCCAACCATGAGGTCCCTGCAGTCAGGGTTGGTGGGTCTGAACCTGAAACCTCAGGTCTCCATTATTTAGTTACCTCGAGCTTTGTTCTGCAGTCTAAGTAGGGGAGGAACTATCACAACTCTCTTAACAACTTTTAGCTGGACGCTAGCTCTGTCCACCAGCTGCCCCGGGGAAGTCAGAATCACTAACGTCAACCTACTCCTGGCTTAGAGGGATTAGGCAAGCCATTTCCCTCCAGGACTGAAAACAGAACATAATTCCAATGTCTGGGGGAAACAGGTGGGGACTATGTCTCCTCAGGTCTCTGGAGAGCAGTAGTCTGGCCTCCCAGGTTCGGGGGTCTGGTGGGCTCAGATATTCCAGCACTGGGATCGCAGAGGTCCTTGAAGACTCCCTGGGTGCAGGAGGAGCTTCAGGGCTGATTTTTGAGGCCCTGAGCTTGCAGCTGGCAGGGAGTTGTGGCTCAGGGGAAGCAGCTGGAAATGCTCCTGAGACTTGAATAGGGGCGAGGGAGAGAGGGCTGGGGGGACACTATCTGCAGATGGTGATGTTGATTTTGCCAAAAGACAGTTTCCAGGAATTGAGCGTAAGAGCAGAGAGTCTGGGCCAGACTTTATTGGCAAAGCAAATAGTAAGAATCCCTGAATTTCGGAGATTCTGGACTCAATGGATTTTTGGGGACCCACTTGTCTTTCACGTTGGGAGAATCGATAAGGACAAAGATAGCAGTTTATAGCAAGATCTCTTAACTTTAATCTGCATGAGTTCTTATTAAAATGCCCATTCTTAGGCAGTGGTCATAATGCAGAACTGAGATTTCTCTCTCTCCCTTTTAAGTGTTACTGGGGATTGAACCCAAAGCCTCAAACATGTTAGGCAAGTACTCCACCACTGAGTTAAATCTTCAGCCCCTTTTCCATTTTATTCTGAGACAGGGTCTCACTAAGTTGCCAGGTGGACCTCAGATTTGCAATCCTCCTGCCTCAGCCTCCTGAGTAAGCTGGGATCACAAGTATGCACCACTGCACCAGCCGAGCAATAGTATATTTCTGACAAGTTTGTATATTCTGTTGCTGTTGCCAGGCTACAGAGAAAGAGCTTAGAAAACCTGTCTTCTAAGTTGGGCCATGTTTCTGTGTTCCAAGAGACATCGCGCACAAAGGCACTGATATCAAGACTATTTGGAGTATTTCAGGGGAGAGAGCAGTTATCTGAGGTCAAGAAAGAACACTTTGGAGCATCAAGAAGATTGGAAGATGCAAATTCCTAAAGCCAGGGAATTTTAGGAAGGGCTCAATTCAACACAGGGCTGCTGGCCCCAAAGATCTGTTTCCATAGATGTGCATAGGGTTGGCACTGGAAGATCCAAACAGACTCCCATCATTGCACCTGCCATTTTCCTTCATAGAAGTTACCATGCTTGGGAAATGACACTATCTGCTTGCAGTCTGGTGCATTATTTGACTTCCCACTAGTCATTATGCACCTGAAGGTCAGAGACTATATTCTGTTCCCTATTCCATATCTAGCTCAGTGAGAGTCACAAGGGACACACTTATAAAATATTTGTTGAGTGAGTCCAAGCCTGTGGGAACAGCAGAAGCACCTGGAGGTGTTTATTCGAAGGAAGAAACTATCCAAATGTCCTAACTCTCAATTTGGTGCTTTGGAGTTGCACAGAACAACTGTTTCTACTGTCTTTATTAGTTAAAGATTTGTGTTGTGTGGCCATTAGGATAGACACAGGAACCCACAGGAAATGAATCCCATCCATGTCCAACCAGGGCTGTCCATCCCTCACTGGACCACACAGGTTTGAGAAACCATCACTGCAGGTGTTTGAGCAAAAACTGGACTTCCTCTGTGAAGGGACGCGGTAGTGGAGTAGGGTTTAAGTCTTATATAAACTCTGGAGTTTCTTTTAAATCCCAAGAAGCCATAATTTCATAATTTTTCCATCAAATCTATTTAGATACTTGACAGTTCTGATCTGCTTTCTTTCTTTCGTTCTTTTTTTTTTTTCTTTCTTTCTTCAGAACTTGGATAGAAGAATGCATTTGTTCTCATTTAACCAAGCTTTCTTGACTTGTGGATTAGGTAAATTGTAAAGCACAGGACAGGATCCTGTCCTGTAGTTCCAAACTACATAGGATCCCCTAATCAACTCTCAACCTCCTGACTGGTTGGTGAAGTCAAAAAAATACTCTGTGAGTTAGGGAAAATGCTATGAATTAGTGACTAGACTTGGGTACGCTGGAATTTCTCTACGTGATAAGAAGAACTCAACTATATTATTCATTGCTCTCTTGATCAGTGGCAGAAAAAAAAAGTGATCATCACTTAAGATTATGATTTGGTTTTAGCTACGGTCCCACAGAGGAAGAATGATGAAGGATGTCTGTAATTTTGTGACTTTCTCTCTCTTTCTTTTTTAAATATTTTTTTAAGTTGTAGATGGACATAATATCTTTATTTTATTTATTTATTTTTATGTGGTGCTGAGGATTGAACCTAGTGCCTCATATGTGCTAAGCAAATACTCTGCCACTGAGCCATAATCTCAGCCCAAATTCTGTGGTTTTCACTGAGGAATGTATAGACATATCATCTTTAAACTTAATGCTATAGATCAAGATTTTAGACTTATCTTCCCATCTCTCTAGGAAAGGAAAGTGTGTTGGATATTTTACTTTGTTCACAAAACTAAACCTTCTCCCACCAAAGTTGATGCTAGCTGGAATGGGGTTGTAGGCTAAACTCAGAGAAGACTGAGTCATCACAGGCAATCAACAATTTATTCCTTCAACCTTTCAACCTCCCTCAACTATGCACTTAAACAACTTTTTGCGGAGGAAGACGTCCCTCCCTGCATCACCTATCACAGATTAGATTAGGTCCCTCTACTATACACTTTCCATCCCACACAGAATTGTAATTACTTCTAACATCAGCTATCTTCCCTTCTGGACATAAATTCTATGAGTGTGGAGACTGTAGCTAACTTGTTTAACCCTTTTTCTACTTAAGACCTTGTATATGCCTGGGACATGCAAGATGCCTAATAGATGATAAGTAGCTGAAGAGATGGATGAATAGAGGGAGGGAGGGACAGGGGAATGTTATATCTGCACTACAGTCAAATGTCTAATGGGTTGGGTCATTCTTGAAATCAAAATCGGCATCTTTTTTTTTTTTCAAATGAGTAGAACATATTTCCCTCTCCAACAAAAAAAATATATAAACATTAAATTAGTCAAAAATCAGTCACAGTATTTTAGAAATACTCTTACCTAAAGCATAGTCCCTTCGAGGAACACTTGGAGGTGCTTTGACTTTCAACCTGTAGATAAAATCCATTAGACCAAGGGTCAGTGGGTAGGACAACTCTTGCCAATGCACACAATATACATAGAGAGAACAAACGAATGACAGAGTAAAGTCCTCTTTGGATCCATCACATTGAAGGATTTAATGTGCTATAAACATAGCGAAGCCATTGGTCAGAGGTTTCCCACCCCTCCCGAGCTCCCTAGTGCACCATGTGGCCATGACTTGGTGGAGTCGGGTGGTCAAGGGACTTTGAGAGGTCAGAAGGTCAGTAAGCACTGAGTCAGAGGTTCAAGGAAGATAAGAGTTGGCTGGCTGCTAGGAAGGTAAGAGAAGATGAGCTGCATTTTAATAGTTTACAAATGCTTTAAATAAGAGGACAAAAATCAGCTATAATAGCACTTTAGTTATATTAGGCCAAAATTATTTTTGGGCCAATTAAAAACATGACAAATAAGTGAGCACCGAGTATCTCAAGATGTAAGGTTTATAGTAGATTATTATTTTTATAATAATTACCCATTCTATTTAAGAATGGCTTGCTTAATTTTAAATACATACACAAAGCTTATATCCAGTAGCTTTGTCTGACTAAAATATCATATCCCTTTATATAAGCAGTACAGGGTAACCATTATATATAAAATTTATTTTTTTCAAAAAACATAGCACAGAAATTCATGTTTGATTAAAACAAGAAAAAACTTTACAAACTAGAATCATTATTTTGCCAAGAAAAACATTAATATTTGTATAGACATTCTTGAGTGCCCCCCATAGTCTCTCATATCTATTATTTCATTCAATTCTCCTCACGAGGCAACAGAGTATACTGGGAAAATATTATCATTAAACTTATGATAAGATCTGGAGGGAAAAATTGGCCAAGGTGTCTCAGGGGGGAAAAAAAATCTGGGTCTGGTGCTCAGGTCAGTTCATGAAACAGTAAAAATTCAAAACACACAAACCAACTATTATCCACTATTGCCACCATCATATAGAAGGAAAGAAAGGGTATTTTAACAACCCTAAATCATTTCTCAATAAAGACCAAGCTCAAGAAAGAACTGCTGGTCACTGACTACAGGTTGGGAATAAAAGGAGTGGTTTGAACTTGACTTAGAAGCTGGCAGCTACACACCACCCCAACGCTGTACTGTCTTTCTCTGCTCATGTAGCCACGGACCCATGAAAACTGTCATGGTCTTGCAGAAAGGAAGCTGTGTGTTCAACTGTGCTTCCGCCTTTCAAGGGAGCACCTGTCGTCTTGGCTTCAAGTGAGAGCTTAATTCTAAGTCACTTTCAATCAAGGGGGCCCTTGACTTCACCCAGGGTAATGACCACGGCAGCCATGTTTGCCAGACTGAGAGGAAACATGATTTGTCTAGTAAAAGTGCTCTGGGGTACAATGGACAGAAAGTCTGAAATAGAAATTGTCAGTGAACATGCCGTGAACATGACCGACCATGGAACAGAGAAACATTCTGTGCAGAACTTTCATATTATTGAGAACTGGAGGATTGTAAGTCTGGTAACTATGAGACACTTAATCTAGAATTACCAGTAATCATAACAATGATTAGTGGGGCTCTCTCATGGAGAATGACAGTCTGTATGTATCAGAAATAAATGAAAATAGCCAGGTATGTGTGGTGGCGCACACCTGTAATCCAGCAGCTAGGGAGGCCGAGGCAGGAGGATTGAGAGTTCAAAGCCAGCCTCAGCAACTTAGCAAGCAAGACCCTAAGCAACTTAGTGATACCCTGTCTCAAAATTTTAAAAATAAAAAAATAAGAAAGGGTTGGGGATGTGGCTCAGTAGTTAAGCACCCTTGGATTCAATCCCTGTTCCCCCAAAAATAAATAAATAAGAAATAAAAATAAAAGAAAGAAATGAAAATAATCACACACCTCTCCCAGTTATAGGCCAGAACAGGATGACAAATTCTTCCCCTCTATAAGATGATCATTGCCCAACAAGCAGAAAACCATTTTAACTGCTTTATGATGATTACTGATTATATATTGAGATTCATTTATAGTTTTCAGTCTAAAAATACCACCAAAAGTGATTTCATACTTTTATGTTTAGACTTTGAAGTTCAGCAAAGTCCAAAAGAATGACGATACCCTGCTCTGAAGACAGAGAGATGAAATTTTTTTATACACTATCATTGGCACAAAATTTTGGGAAGGAAATTTGGTAATAGCAATAAAAAAAAAATTAAGGCACAACTCCTTCCATTCATAAATTTTATTTCAGGAATTTAGTTTACTGATATACTCCAAGTCTGCAAAGAATATTAAAGTGTTATTTGTGACAGTTAAATGGAAATAAATGGCTAGAAGTTTTTTTAATATTTATTTTTTAGTTGTAGTTGGACACAATACCTTTATTTATTTATTTGTATGTGGTGTTGAGGATCAAACCCAAGGCAAGCACTCTACCACTGAGCCACAATGCCAGCCCTAGAAATTTTTTTATTGATATGATCAAACTGCCCTCCAAGTAGGTTTAAACTCACATCCTCCCCCTTACAAAAATGTCCGCCAATATATAGTTTGTTTCATTATGTTTATGATAGACTACTGATCAGCTATTTGGAAAAATGATGTTGTTTACCTACTAATAAGAAAGATGTCCATGACAAAGCATTAAATAAAACCCACAGCCAGGTGCCGCGGTGCATGCCTGTAATCCCAGCAACTTGGGAGGCTGAGGCAGGAGGATCGTGAATTTGAGGACAGACTCAGCAAATTAGTAAGACCTTAAGCAACTTATTGAGACCCTGACTCAAAATAAAAATCCAAAGGGTTGGGGATGTAGCTCAGTGGTTGACTGACCCTGAATTCAATCTCCAACACCAAAATAAATAAATAAATCCAACCGAGCAAGTTGGTAGAATGGTGTATGTAGCTTGATACCATGATGAAAATGAAATGTGCATAGATTCTGTGTTGGTGCATGAATATGTGTGCCTGAATATATATATATATATATATATATATATATATATATATATATATCTATCAGGACAATGTCTCTTTCTGGGGAATGGGTTAAGGTAAGATTGTGAGAAGTGGGCAATTTTGACTTCAAACAATTCTGAATTCTTTCATTTTTTTCTCCCTGCCAAATCTGTATTACTTTCATCAAAACAAAACTGAACACAATATTAATTTGCCTCTCTTTTTGACTTAGATTTTGAGTGGCAAGTGCAGGCACACAGAATTTCTATTTTCTCTGTAAGAAGCTTAAGGGGTTTTGGTGTACAGGAAGATTTGGAATTCTAGCTTTCCTTTCCCATGTGCTTGTTGAAAACACTGATAATTAAAATTATTTAAAAAGTGGAAATCAAAATGTAGGTGACAGTTATGGCATCTCAAAAAAGTGAGGGCTGAGTTTTGTGACTTCTTATTTGGATTTCTCCAGGTGCCTTGCTTTGGCATGTGCTAGGCACCCTGAATGAGCACCGCTCACCTCTTCTTTGGTGAGAAGGAAATCCTGAGTTTCCCCTGAATACCAGCCCACTCACGGTCTTGTTTCCAGAACATAGGTGTAATCCATGCTTCCAGCCACCAGCAAGAAAGGGTGGGTGACATGCTAAACAGGTTGCACCTCCCTGCTGGAGTAACAGGGAGTTGCACAGGTTGACTTATTTTATATAAATAAGTATTTGCTTCTTTCACTTAGCAAGGTTGACTTATTTAAATACATAAATATTTAAATAGAGTCTCACTTACTTTTTTATTTTGTTCATTATTCCTCCTTCATTGTTCTTAATATCATGGACCATCTTTTGAAGTTGCCTGTAAGAAATAAAATTAAACAAAAATGTTAATAGCAGGAATTATATTGTATTTAGTTAAGTGAACAATTTGAAAACTTTATTTCCGGCCTCATTTCATCTCATTTTATCAGGTTTTTTTTTTTTTTTTTTCATCAAATAAACTCCAGAATCTGATAGACCAGTGGTTCTCACTTTAAACTGCACCAGAATCCCCTACAGGGTTAATGAATGGTCGCGGGCCAGGTCCTGCCTCCCACGTTTCCGATGTGGGTGTATCTGTGGTGCTCCTGATTTGCATTGCCAACAAGTTCCCAGGGGTTGGGACACCTCTGGTCAGAAGATCATCCTTGAATCACCACTGTACTGTGATAGATCAGAACTTTTTCCACTGTAACCTTTTAATTGCCAAAGTAAAGCAAAATAACTGCATAAGAAAACTAAGGTCCTTACTGACTCATGTGCAAAGTTTTAAATAAATCAGCTGAGTTGTCAGTCTGATAACAAAATGTGGGAGTGTGCTTTATTAGACTTGCATCTTGACGGGACTCTTGACTTTCCTCTGCATGGATTTAGACCACGCTATGTCTGAAGGTTGGTTCATTTTGTAGTCACATTGCTGGCATCCTCCACCCCACACTGCTACTGGGAAAGCCAGGGCTGCTCTGCCTGCTCTCTTCAGTGGTTTGCAAAAGCTACTGATGGAGATGAAGGGATTACAGGCAAAACGCCTCTCACATTGCATGAGCCCCACACGGGGTGGGATAATTTTGCCATTCCTAACACAGAGCTCTAGAATGTAGTGATGTTGGGGACTGTAAAATTAAATGGAAAAACAAAACAGAACAACAACATGATCTTTCTCTTTTCCCTTCTCATTTTCTTTTCTCCTTCCTCCTTCCCTTATTATCGATCACATAAATTATACAGCCTTCAATTTTATAACTACTTCTTGTTAAAAATGGACTATAGTCTAAGTGAAAGAAGCCAATCTGAAAAGGCTACATATTGTGTAATTCCAACTATGTAAATGACATTCTGGAAAAGGAAAACTCTGGAGACAATAAAAAGATCAAGGCTTTCTACAAGTTTGAGGGTAGGAAAGAAGGGGTGAATAGGTAGAGAATAGGGGATTTTTAGGAGAAAGTAATTTTGTATGAGACTGTAATAATAGATACATGTAATATGTATTCATTGTATCAAAATTTGGAAATAATATTATAAAACCACTCTTTGGGGGGAATTCTTTTTTGTTGGTTCTTTTTAGTTATACATAACAGTAGTGTCCATTGTGACAGAATTATACAAGCACAGAATATGTCTTATTCTAATTAGAACTCTAGTTTTATGGAGTTCAACTTTCTTTTTATGGCTGAATAATATTCCATTGTGTATATATGTACCATGTTTTCTTTATCCATTCAGCAGTTGATGGACACTTAGGTTATTTCCATTTCTTGGCTCTTATAAAGCTGCCATGAATGTGGGAGTGCAGATGTCTCTTTGACATGTTGACTTCATTCCCTTTGGATATATGTACTATAGTGGGAGTGCTAGCGACATACACAATGGTGAGATTAACTGTGGTGCATTCACACATGTACCTAGGAAGGTTGTCAGATCACTCCACAGTCTTTCCTTTTCCTCTTCCCCACTCCCTTCCCTTCATTCCCCTTTGTCTAATCCCCTGAACTTCTAATTCTCTTCCTCCCCCTTATTGTGTTAGCTTCCACATATCAGAGAAAACATTCAACCTTTGGTGTTTGGGGATTGCTTGTTTCACTTAGCATGATCGACTACAGATCCATCCATTTACTGGCAAATGTCATAAAGTCATTCTTCTTTATGGCTGAAAATAATATCTCATTGTGTATATGTACCACAATTTCTTTATCCATTCACCTGTTGAAGGGCTCCATAGCTTAGTTATTGTGAATTGTGCTGCTATAAACATTGATGTGGCTGTGTCACTGGAGTATGATGATTTAAATTCCTTTGGATATATACCAAGGAGTGGTGTAAGTGGATCAAATGACAGGTCCATTCCTAGTTTTTTGAGGAATATCCATACTAGGTGAAGTAAGCAATTACCCTTCGTAGCTTGGTGTGCTGCTTCTCTGCCCCTGTGATCTTTTCAGACCCATCATGAGACCTTGATAAAACCATAGAAGCAGAATGTTTGTGCAAGATTAAATAGTGGTTGCACTAATTTGCTGTCCCACCAGCAATGTATGAGCGTACCCTTTTCCCCACATCCATACCAACATTTATTGTTTCATGTATTCTTGATAATTGTCATTTTTCCTGGAGTGAGATGAAATCTCAGTGTAGTTTTAATTTGCATTTCTCTGATTGCTAGAGACGTTGAACATTTTTTCAATGTATTTATTGATCCTTGGTATTTCTTCTTCTGTGAAGTGCCTATTCAGTTCCTTTGCCCCTTTATTAATTGGGTTATTTGTCTTTGGGGTGTTAAGTTTTTTTGAGTTCTTTGTTTTTCCTGGAAATTAATGCCCTACCTGAGGTACAGGTGACGAAGATTTTCTCTTATTCTATAGACTCCCTCTTCATGCTCTTGATTGTTTCCTTTGCTGTGAAGAAACTTTTTAGTTTGATTCCATCCCATTTATTGATTCTTGATTTTACTTCTTGCACTTTAGAAGTCTTGTAAAGGAAGCCAACATGTTGGAGTGTTGGGTCTACATTTCCTTCCAGTAGATGCAGAGTTTCTAGTTTAATTCCTGGGTCTTTGATCCACTTTGAGTTGAGTTTTGTGCAGGGTGAGAGATAGGGGTTAAATTTCAGTCTACTACATGTATTCCCAGTTTTCCCAGCACCATTTGTTGAAGAAGCTGCCTTTTCTCAAATGTATGTTTTTGGCAACTTTGTCTAGTATGAGTTAACTGGACTTATGTAGGTTTCTGTCTGAGTCTTCTATTCTGTTCTGTTTGTCTTCTTGCCTGTTTTGGTTTTAATATCATGCACTTTTTTGTTACTATAGCTCTGTAGTATAATTTAAGGTCTGATATTGTGATGCCTCCTGCTTTGTTTTTCTTGCTAAGGATTGCTTTGGCTATTCTGGGCCTCTTATTTTTCCAAATGAATCCCATGACTGCTTTAAAAAAAAAAATCCCTCTTAATTCAACTTCCACCACTATCACTCAATTAAAAAGCCTTCCAAGTTTGTATTACCTGTGTATAAAGATGGACAAAGTTCACAAAAGTAAGTTCATCTTTGACATTTTGTAATCTGCATTTCCTACTTCATACATACGAACACCATCAATTTGTTCAATTTCAAGTTAGTTAAAATTAATAAATACGTGAGTATTCATTCATTTTATATACGTATGCATTTATATAAAATAAATATATATAGTTATTTTCAATTAACACATAAAAATTGAACATATTTATTGGGTACCATGTGATGTTTCAATACATTATGACATTGCACAGTATTCATATCATGGTTATATTACCTAATCCTTAAATACTTATCATTTCTTTGTAGTAAAAATATTCAAAATTATATCTTCTAGGTGTTTTGGAGCACACAGTAAGTTGTTATTCATAGGCAATAGAATACTGACCAAACCATAACTTAGTACCCCTTGATCAGCCTTTCCCCCCCCCCCCCTCTTTCCCCTGCCCTCCCCAGCCTCTGGTAACCACCAGATATCCTCAACTTCTATGAGATCGACTTTTTTAGATTCCACAATAAGTGAGGTTGATCATACAGTATTTGTCTATCTGTGCCTAGTTTATAACAGTGGTCCCTTCACCTTCTGAATATAGCCCTTGTTTGTTTTAAAGCTTATTTATTATTATTTTTTTAATTTTTGTTTTTGGGTACCAGGGATTGAACTCAGGCTCACTCAACCACCGAGCCACATCCCTAGCCCTATTTTGTATTTTTTTAAGAGACAGGGTCTCACTGAGTTGCTTAGCAACTCGTTAAATTGATGAGGCTGGCTTTGAACTCCTGATCCTCCTGCCTCTGCCTCCCGAGCCGCTGGGATTACAGGCGTGTGCAACTGTGCCAGTGTAGGCTTATTTTTTTTTTAAATGTCTTTTTTTCCCTCTCTTCTCCCCTCTCCCCCTCTCTTAACAAGATTAGGGAGACAGTGTTCTCTTTTTTTCCCTTAGTTGTTCTGCCTTTGAAAACACCACTACAGGAAGGAGATGCCTGCTGAGATCTGGAAGTTAATATCTCCCAAATTAACAAGTGAATCCTAACAGGCCATCAGGGCACCCTGGGACCCCCTACCAGAGCACACTTGAAATGTATCCCTTGAAAAGTTCCTTTAAAACCCTCCTGTTCCTCCTGATGGGGAGAGTCACAGCCTTTGGGACAGGAATCCCCTGTGTTTCTCCTTTGCTAGCAAAGCAATAAACCTTCTTTTCCCCTTTTCTCAGAAACCATGTCTTCATTATTAAATTGGCATTTATTGACATTGGGGACAAGGACTGAGCTTTCAGTTACAGGCTTATTTCACTTATCGTAATCATCTCCAGTTCCACCCATGTTGTTGTAAATGATAGGATTTCATCTCTTTTTATGGCTGAATAATATTCCATTGTGTATATATGTACCATGTTTTCTTTATCCATTCAGCAGTTGATGGACACTTAGGTTATTTCCATTTCTTGGCTCTTATAGAGCTGCAATGAATGTGGGAGTGCAGAAGTTTCTTTGACATATTGGCTTCATTCCCTTTGGATATATGTACCGGAGTGGGAGTGCTAGAACATAGTATAGTTCTACTTTTAATTTTTTGAGGGACAGCCATATTGTATTCCATAACACCTGTCCTAATTTCCATCCCCAGCAACATGTTGTGCATTAGTGTTCCGTCCTCTGCACATCCTCGCCAGCACTTGTTATCTTTGTCTTTTTGATAGGAGCTATTCTAACTGCAGTGAGATGATATCTCATTGTGGATTTGATTTTCATTTCCCTGTCTTCTTTTGAGAAAAGTCTATTTAGCTCTACTGCCCATATTTTAAAAATTAGATTGT